AGCGGAGAACTGACGTGTCAACGTGCGCCAACGCCTCCATCAATTTTGAATGGGTTGACGTACGATACAGGCGACGTCACGACGTCACGGCGACGTATCATAGGTGCGCTCAAAGTACGCGCTCACGTGGCGGCGGCGTAGCTTTGAAAGTGCTATCTTAGATACGCGTGTTGATAACGTACGTGTACATAAGCGTGTACATAAGCGTGTGGATAAGCGCGTGAATAACGTACGTCTCGCCTCCGTTAGCATTGTATAGCATTATCCTATATTATATTTTTCGAATGATTCCGCTCCTAGTTTGGAGAGTGTTATGGCGCAGTTCCACTACAGCGCGGAGCTCGCTTTAAGCGTGCCGTGTCGTGCCGTACCCGTTTTTGGTTGCGCTTCCACTAGGCCTCGTTCCGGCGCGGCACGGCGCGGGGCCACTTTTTCCCCTCTTTTCTGGCCCGACAAAATTGTGGTTCTATCGGGGCCAACAAACAGGGCTGAGTCGGGCTGAGTATGCTAAACTAGAGAGAGGAGCGCTGGCAAGAGGGCTAGAACTACAACAAGATGGACATATTTGACCGTGATTTAATTGTAATACACGTTTCTAAATGATGAAGTAACAACATACTGATACCGGTTAGTAAAAACCATGAATTAATGCTTTGTCAAGTCTGCAGACAGACGGCAGGCGAAAAACCTTTTAAAATGCGTGTTTTTCTAGATGGAGATTGGCTAAGCTAACGCAGTATATGCTCCGACCGTCCACACTCACAACAACGGCCTATACAGACATAAATAAAGCAGCGACTGTATTCACCATGACACAGACAGTCTGTGGTTTGTACTTGTTTAACTTTTGTCGAGTTTCTGAACATATATAAGGAGCTGTGAGCTCTGAGTGCTAACAGCTAACGGCTGTGTTGTGTTTCTGGAGTTCTCATTGAAGATGACGTCACGGCTCCGCCTACACTGCGTTACTATAGTAACTACCCCAGTTCCTAAACTGTAATGGAAGCGCAGCATGAAGTGAGTCGGCCCTGTTAAGGCCCAACGCGGCCAAGCCGTACCGAGCCGTACCGAGCCGTACCGAGCGTGGCCGAGGCCGACCGTGTAGTGGAAATGCGGCATTACAGGTACACTTTCTCATCGGCACAGTATTGGTATCAGAAGAGAGGGGAATAATAATTAATAATCATTAGTATGAGAATATTTGCTGGTGTTGTACTCGAGACCGGTCTCCAGACCACTTTTTAATGCTATTGGTCTCGGAATCGACTGTATTTGGTTTCGTATTGTCTCTGTATCGGACCTATAGGACTCGAGATTTTATGTCAAGACCGGTTAAGACCACGGCTGTGGCTGGGGATGTGATGAGGATCGGGAACCGAAATCCGGTTCCGATTTGGAACAAATAACAATTGTCCGGTACGGGGATTAATAAGAGTTGTGTCTAGCAGCTCTCTCTCTCTCTCTCTGCTCCGGAACAGCTGATCGCTGCACGGCGATCAGCTGTCTCTCCCTCCCTCAAGGTGTGTGTGGGTGTGTCTGTGTCTGTGTGTCTCATTCACTGTCCCTCAGGTTGTAGCATGTTTCGATTGCCAGTTTGTGGCTTGTATGTCTTGTGAACGCAACGCTGGCATGATGTGGCCTGCTGACATGGCCTCTAATAAACACACAGGACTAAAATAATACGTCTTTAATTCAGCCCAGATGCGGTGACTGCAGGCCAAATCCATTAATGTGGCATATATTGAAGGTGTTCAAAGTTGCACCGGTATGAAGCGCAGTGAGAACCACGCACCTGTCAGACCAGACCTTTATATACAGTCTATGTGTCAGACCAGACCTTTATACAGTCTATGTGTCAGACCAGGCCTTTATATATACAGTCTATGTGTCAGACTAGCGAATGGGCACATTTAAATTCCAGGAGAATAATGAAGATGTGATTGGTTGTTCCACTCTCCGTTTCTCACGAGACCAGCGAGCTGCTGTTTACATTAGTGTGGACTGGACCGACTGAAACTGACGGCAAGGTTCATTATTGTGGAAGGATGGACCCCCACCCTGCAGCAAAAGGCAGTGAAATGTGCTAAAATCACTGATTTATTCAGAACCCCCTATGGTATAGAGAATGACGAAGCAGAAAGTAAGTGAGCGAACATTATGAGCCACATTTCTTTCTATATTGTAGCCTGATGTGCACATCGACTGTCAACAAAACTGTTTCTCAGTCCAATGCTAAGTTAGTGGCAGGCCCTGTGTGACTGGAGACTATAAGGCTACACAAAACCCAAACATGTCCTTAATGTTTCTCAAGGCAAATATATGTAATATAACCGTTAGACTGCAGCTAACTGTGGGGCTACAAACCCCTCATACTGTGAGGGGATCACTTGAGATGGTTATGTTGTCTAAAGGGGAGACAATCATTATGGTATTAGGCCATGCAAATACAGGGTCAACTAAGTGATCAAATAAGTGTTGCATAATGTATGTTCTTGAATAATGTTATTTCATAAATAGTTGTTAATGTAATGATTACATGTTCTCCTTATTCAGTTCCACTATCAGATGATGCTGATGGTGATGACCCTGAGGGAGAGATGCAGAGCTCAGTGGACAGAACTGGCAGGTGCAGAGGAAACTGTTTCAATAGGCTATGTCTATGAAAACACTGAACAAAGGAAATGTAATGACAACAGTATAAGCAAGCTATGTTCATGTTCTCTCAATAAGTTACTATAGTTATTGATCAGAGTTTAATCCATTTGAGGTCCACCCCCAAATAAAACATGTTCACATGGAAAGGTTCCCAAATACATATGCACACGTTTTTTTTAACAATATCCTGTGTCCATATGTTTCTATTTAAGTAGTAGATTCAAACTGTAGGGCTATCACTAAGGGCAGCAACGTTGTAAATATTGATGATACATCCAGCAAAACGCCCCCAAACTAAACTAGTAGTGGCCTGGCTGGGTGTATGATTCCTGACCTGACCTATGGTCCCAGTCCGGCCCTGCTGACACATCACACACCCGTACGCTACACACATTACTGATTAACTGATATCACAATTGAGTTGCTCTCTTTAAATAAATATACTGTAATTGGAAAATAATCATGTGGTGTCCTTGTTGTGTCCGTCCTTGAGCCAGGGCTCCCTATTGTTGTATAGGTTAATGGTGTGTGTGACACAAACATAATAAATCATTGGATAGTGTTTTTATATAATAGAAATAAAGTAATGTATTAAGACTCAGTGCGAGTTATTACTTTCTTCCTTTACTTGGCATTCTTCAAAAATACACAGACATTGCAGCACATCGTTTCACGTCTTTGTACTTTCTCAGCATTAAAGTGCAATGTGTTGGCCAACCTTTGTTTCCTCCTGACAGCTCACTTAAAGGTATACTCAATTCAATTCAATAGCTTTATTAGCATGACCTCAGTTACATATAGTATTGCCATAGCTCTGTATAGTTGCAACATCTATACAAAATATATATATATACACAATATATATATATACTCCCCCTTGTGGCCAAAGGGGGACACAACTCTTGTCTTCAGATGTATGCTTGAGTGCAGCAAAATGTAGCACAGTGACTATTTTGTCAACTAAACATCATAAAACAATAGCCTACATATTTTAGTAAACGGGACATTATAATCTCCGCACATTAACTCTATATTTGCCTCTGCCATGGTGCTGAAATGAAATAAAATAAACAATAGGGGTTGCCTCTTCTCTGAACTTCTATGTATACTGCATCCCTCCAAATCAAATAAACCATAAACAAATACATAAAGTCGTGTTCACTGCATCGATCTATTTCACACACAAAACTATATGAAAACTTGGTGATATACAGTTTTCTCCTGGAGACCAAGGGAAGACAGGCTTCTCCTGTTTTTTCAGCCTTTGTTATCATTTTGATAATTAAAAATATATATTCTTGTCTGTGGTTGTTTTTTGCATTCAGGGCATACAAGAGGTGTAACATTATTTTAATACCAAAACTATATTGAAATAGATTCTAGCTTGAACAGCAACGTAGCTGCAACATTACAGGGTTATTTGGTGATAACTACCAAAGTAAAGTAACTTCAGACGCAGACGTCATGTAGCTACTCAGACGAGCGGGGTGGCGACGAGAGTGTCACGTTACTTCTCTCACGGCATAGTTCACGGCATGGTAGGCGACGACCGACACGATTGTCTGCTCAGTGAGTTCGCTCTTTGGCACAAATCACACCTCATACTCTTTGGCACAAATCACACCTCATACACACACACGGAGGAGATGGCGGAGAGAACGCGCTCCGAGGTGTGGTTAAACTTTACTTGTTCGATGAGGACAATGCTCGTTACCAAAAGTGCAATAAGAGTTTAGCATGTAAGGGCGGTAACACGAGCAATTTGTCTAAACATCTTGTAAAAGTGCACCACATTCAAACGGAGAAATGCACCGGGTTCGACTGTCTTTCTAGTAGCTCTGTAGCCCCATCCACGAGTAACTTTTCCACGTCAGGTGTTATGTATGCTAGCAGTAACACACGGAGTTAACTCAATTATACAAACATGGGCTAATGATTAGAGGTAACTGAGTTATTTATTTTGTTAAAGTTTCAGCTATTCTGTTTACAGTTCTGTCATCACATTATTTAATACGATTTGTTAAAACACTGTTGTTTCTTTTGATGTGAAATATTATGTATTTAATTAAAATAAAAAGCAATGATAGTTTTGTTCACAATTTGTGTTAGTTAGTTTACCTTATTTTTTTCTCCAAAAAAAACGATAAAAGTACTGTTAAAGCCGTGCCTATGTTTTTGTTTTCACTGCTAGTTTATGCTTATGTTCAATTAGTGCATTAACAAATCATTAAAATCATTAATGAAGTTTCAGCTCAGACCCCACGCTTAATAAGTCTCCCCCTGGCCCACCTACATTTCTCCAGGCCCACCCACACAATAATTCCTGGCTACGCCACTGGGCCTACCTGTGGAAGTAGTGCAGCATGAAGGTACAGATCAGCAGGGTGCCTCCGGTTCTCCCCCCGGTTCTCCACCCCTGCTCCCCGGCTCTCCCCCTCTGCTCCCCGGCTCTCCCCCCCTGCTCCCCGGCTCTCCCCCCCTGCTCCCCGGGCAGCAGCAGCAGCATCATCAGCGGCAGCAGCAGAGCCGGAGCCTCCTGCAGGAACCAGGCCAGTCTGGCGGGGCAGCAGCGGCTCCGCGCGGTTCGGTACCGGCCGTAGGGTGTGTGGGTCCGGGTCTGACGGAGCAGGTAGACCGGGCCTCCGAGGACCAGAGCCCAGCTGAGAGAGGACACGGCCGACTCACAGCACTCCATCTCCGGCTGCAGGAACTCCATCTACCGCTGAGGGACTGGGGAGGAGGGAATACAGTAGCCTATGAGAGGGGGGAGCTTAATCTGTTACTCTCCCACAGGTAGGCTAGTTCAAGTATTCAATGTGCAGTACAATGTAGTTCAAGTACTCAAAGTAAATGACTGTGCAAAAAAAGTGCGAAATGACTAAAAATAGATGCAACCACAGAAATGCAGAAAGAGAAGCAAACGAACAAGCAGAGCGTCAGCTGCGACGCTGAAGTTAGCTTCCGATTCAGAGCTTCCTATTCGGCAGTTAAGGGGACAGTTAAGGGGAAAGTTAAGGGACATTAATGTACAGCGCTGAGCGAACAATCCTCCGTGTCTGAACCTCGCTTCTCTTGTTAGGTCATACCCCCCTTCACATGCTAGTTTCGGTCACAATTGACCGGTGTGTTTTGCACAGTGATATCTCTGGAACTCCTTATCCAATTTTGATGGTTGACATCTCATTTGAACAGTCAAAGCAAGTAGAATCAAGGGGTGACAGACAGAATGACACCAGGGGTGGATTTCATATTATTTTTTGCAGTAAGTTCAAAGATAGTGCTTATTTTACATTACTGTATATTATAAAAATGCTTGCCATGTAGGCTGTGTTTACTGGAGATGGAAATGCTTTAGTTAGTGTTGTCGCTGAGATTCTTCCCGTTCCAATGATGTATGGGATGTATTGATTTGATACAAGCAAGCCAGTGTTTCATGTCATGGTCCGGACCCACCGGTGGGCCCATCAAGTTCAGCACTCACTGCACTCACTGTGATGAATATAAAATAAGACACTGATACTGTTTTCCTCAATGAACATTGATTGAAAGAGAAATATACCATAACAGAACGTGTGTGTGTGTGTGTGTGTGTGTGTGTGTGTGTGTGTGTGTGTGTGTGTGTGTGTGTGTGTGTGTGTGTGTGTGTGTGTGTGTGTGTGTGTGTGTGTGTGTGTGTGTGTGTGTGTGTGTGTGTGTGTGTGTGTGTGTGTGTGTGTGTGTGTGTGTGTGTGTGTGTGTGTGTGTGTGTGTGTGTGTGTGTGTGTGTGTGTGTGTGTGTGTGTGTGTGTGTGTGTGTGTGTGTGTGTAATGTGAGTCTGAGTGACTCATTTGAACCTCTCTGAGGGGATTCTGTGGTTTTAAGCATTTCATGTTTCTGATTCTTTTGTTTGTAGCCTTTATTTAACCAGGTGAAAATCCCATTGAGATCAACCATCTCTTTTTCAAGGGAGACCTGCGGTACATTGGTTACACATAAACAACAGAAAACAAAAAGGACATCACAACATAATAACAGGGGTATAAATTAGCAACCTATTCACAGTGACAGGTATCCAATAACATTTCATCCAGCCGTGCTTTAAAATGATGCAAGGGAACATAGTGTTCCAAGTTAGAGGAGCAGCGCACATAAAAGCTTTAGTACCTAGAACAGTCCTAGCACTTGGCACATGTAGAACACATCCTGGGATCTCAGGCAATAGCTACTTGCCACTCTCCGTGAGATCAAGGAGCAGATATAAGTCTGTAGTTTACCCAGCATGGCTTTATATATGAACATGTACCAATGACTGAGCCTCCGTACAGTAAGTGAAGGCAGACCTGCCTTGGCATACAGGGTACAGTGATGAGTAAGTGCTTTACAGTTAGTAACAAATCTCAGAGCACTGTGATAGGCGGCATCTAACCTTTCCAGGTAATGGGCAGGTGCATTCATATACAGCAAATCACCATAGTCCAGCACAGGTCAAAAGGTCACAGAGCCTTTTTCTGGCTTCAAAAGTCTTTTATTCTGAAGCAAATCAGAGAAAATTATTTTAAAAAATCATAAAATTGTCATTATTAATGATCCCCCTGCAGAAACGTGGCCAAGACGCAGGAGAACACGTCGATGGAACTGTCGGTGTCGGCGAGTTCTCTGGTGACTGCCTGGTGTGTCAGGGCTTTTAAAGGTCACCTATCATGCTATTTGTAGGCAATAGCATAGGTCTCAGATATATACAAATATATAAAAAACATGTCTGAAGTGTTTTGCTCCAAACACCAAACAGATCACCCATTCTAGCCATGCCTCATATCCCTCTATTTCACTTCCTGTTTCTAAAGTGCTGATTTGGGTATAAAGCTTTAAAAAGGAGGGGGCTGAGCTCATGGGGGACCCGGCAGCTACCGTCTAAACTAAATACTGCCGTGATGAAACGCCATATCATGGATTATCAAGGATTGTCTCTGAAACAGTATGGAGCTCAAAGGCTTTCTCTCTTGCCGGTTATACCACAAGGTGAGTTCCTTTTTATTTCCTGCTTCTTCACACACATGCTCTCCAGTACAGGTTAGCTCTGAGTGTTAGCGATGCTAATGTAAACACCGACCATATTACGTCCAAAACAGTCGGGCATTGTTTCTGATAGCAACGTTTCTGATAGGGCCGTGGGTCCACATTTCAGATATTACGTCATATCGGACGCAAATCCAGGCTAAAGACTAAGGGTGACCGAGCCTTTGAGGCGGTGGCCCCAAGGCTTTGGAACAAACTCCCCCAGAGACTAATGGCGCATTTCCACCGCAGGCCTCGCTCGACTTAGTACGGCCTTGTCAGGCCTTGTTAGGCCTTGTTAGGCCCAGCTCACTTTATGGCGCATTTCCATTACAGTTTAGGAACTGGGGTAGTTACTATAGTAACGCAGTGTAGGCGGAGCCGTGACGTCATCTTCAATGAGCACCCCAGAAAAACAACACAGCCGTTAGCTGTTAGCACTCAGAGCTCACAGCTCCTCATATCTGTTCAGAAACTAGACAAAAGTTAAACAAGTACAAACCACAGACTGCCTGTGTCATGGTGAATACAGTCGCTGCTTTATTTATGTCTGTATAGGCCGTTGTTGTGAGTGTGGACGGTCGGAGCATATACTGCGTTAGCTTAGCCAATCTCCATCTAGAAAAACACGCATTTTAAAAGGTTTTTCCCCTGCCGTCTGTCTGCAGACTTGACAAAGCATTAATTCATGGTTTTTACCAACCGGTATCAGTATGTTGTTACTTCATCATTTTGAAACGTGTATTACAATTAAATCACGGTCAAATATGTCCATCTTGTTGTAGTTGTAGCCCCCTTGCCAGCGATTCTCTCTCTAGTTTAGCAAACTCAGCCCGACTCAGCCTGTTTGTTGGCCCCGATAGAACCACGATTTTGTCGGGCCAGAAAAAAGGTGAAAAAGTAGCCCCGGGCCGGAAGTAGGCCAAGTGGAAACGCAACCAAAAACGGGCCCGGCACGACACGGCACGCTTAAACCGCGCTCTGCGCCATGGTGGAAATGCGCCATAAGAGCCTCTGCCTCAATAGAGATTTTTAAGGGGCAGTTAAAGACCCACCTTTTCCGATAGGCCTTTGGGTCGCCGGAGGAGGTGAGTTAGTAGCTGTCTTTCATTGGTGTTTTATCCTATGTTTTATCCTATGTGTTACCTGCTGTGTTTTATGTCTTTTATTCTACATTTTATAGTTGCACTTTGAATTGTGTCCTGTGTACTGTACTGTAAAGCACTTTGTACATTCGTGTTGAGAAGGGTGCTGCTATATAAATAAAGTTTTACTTACTTACTTACTAAATCTGGATCAGCTCCGTTGTTCCCCCGTTTTTAGAGATTTGGGTACGGAGGAAAGAGAGAGGGTTTTATTTTCTGATGCTGCGTGAGTTCCCTGACACACAGGGGACACATCTTTGTATAAAAGACATCAAAAAGTGACTTTTGCATGATAGGTCCCCTTTAAAGATATATTATTATATGTTTAACACAATGATAGTTATTATTGTTTAATGTTTTACTGTAATCAATGTATTATAAAGTATATTAATATAAGTGGAACATATTCCCCATGGTCTGTCTGTGAATACAAAACTCCACAAACATAACACAAGTCAATTATTATATTATAATATTAATAAATGTGAAAAATATGAGTTTAAATGAACCATTATTTTTATTATATCTAATATTTTTGGGAAACATTTCTGTGAATATAATCATCTATAGAAATTATTATTATTTTCTTTTTTAGATTAATATTAGATGTGGAGAATATTTACCATTATTTTATTATATTTAATGTTTATAAAAACATGTTTTTAAATATATCCACCACCATTTCTTCTTTTTACACGTATTTCTATGTACTTTTTAATGAATACTAGATGTGAAGAATATTTCATGTTTGCATTTCTATTAAATAAATCTCGGTGAACAAATAGAGCCCCCGTTAGAGCGGACCTGGAGCGGACTCTGAAGGCTCTGTGGCTCCCCCTGCCGGCGGCTCCGTGCAGCAGCAGCGGCTACTCCTCCCCTCCTTCCCCCGGCAGCAGCAGCTCCTCTCCGGCTTCTATTCCCGGAGACACCGCCTCCATTTTACCCCGACACCCGGAGCAGCAGCACCGACACCCGGCGGAGTGACACGAACCGAACTACTGACCCGGCGGAGGGACTCGTTCTGCGGCGAACCCAACGGCTGGTGCGCGAGACTCCAGTTTTCCCGGGCCTGAATCCCGTTGATGGCGCCTCTGCGGCAACACGGAGGATTTGTGAGGTTTTAACGGTTTTTCTGCGGGGAAAACAGCTCGGTTTAACGGCAGGACGAAGAGGAGGAGGTGGCTAGCAGGTACCGGCTTTACTCTATAATTGGGTTAATTGATGACGGGCTTCGGGCGGTCATAAGACGGCTTTGTTAGATCTGCTGCTCCGGGGAGGAGGGGGGGACAGGCCGCTGCTGCAGCCGCAAAGAAGGGCCTGTCCCCGGCTCTGCCCCCCCCCCCCCGGTAGCAGCATCCATACCGTGAAGGGTTATATAATGTGTGCGCAGAGGACACATCGTCCGGGTCTCAGCCCCACAAACAAGCCTCATCCCCCTGCATCCACCCCCCCGCAGACCCCTCTCTGATGTCGGGCAGATGATCCGGGGGACAGGGTGTCTGGAGCTCCGGGGGATCAGGGGGGGGGGTCTGGTGTCTGTGAGGCCGGACTGCAGGTGCATCAGGGCCGCAGAGCCGGGCAGGAGGGCCGGGGGGGAAACGCATCTCCCAGCAGAGCCCCAAACACAAGGGGAAACTAGCCTTTTATTATAAATATATAACAATAATGTGCTTAATGATGAGATCCATGTCAGAGTCATGATGTGTAAAGTCATGTTTATCAGATAGAAAGTCTTAATGATGAGATTCAGTCAAAATACGAAATAAATATGTTCTTCTAAATGGAGATTATAAGATAAATCAACTTTATGAGATGTACAACAATCACAATTAACATTTAAAAATAGATACAATTCTTATTTAAAAAGATCAAATGAGATTATTATAGAAATAGAAAAATGATTAGATAATATATAAATATGATCTGATATAAGTAATCATTTCTAGATATAGATCCAGAATTAAGACATCAAATATGAGTTTAAGATTTAAATGAACATATAAACACAAAATAAGTCAATCTAGGAATACAAAGAGTAGAAGTATTTTGTGTAAATGCTTGGTGTTTGCAGTAACTACATGATGTGATATCTGTACCTCCTGTGATAGAACACACTGTCTGTATGATTGTGTTGTTGCTGAGTTAGTCATGTTAGTGTTCACTCTGTTGTGAGGCAGAAATAATACTATTGACTTCATTGATCTGACCCGTCCTGATTTACTGTTTTCCATTGGTCCTTGAACGCCTCAGGGTTGATTGGAGACATTAAGCAGAAAGTTCCCAACATAAATCTTTACTAACATGTTTAAAATAACAAATATTTAACAAAAAGTGTCTGAGCGTTATTTAAGTAGATTAAAGAGGCCGTATTGTTCCCTGTAGTGTGTTCTCTATATACAAACACCTCCATTGGACTCCTTACTTCCGGAACATAGTGACATCACAATGTAACACTCGCAATCCTATTGGCTAGAGGAGTCTTTTTAAAGTAGAGATTCTACATACTGATATACACCTGAACATCAGCAGGAGAGGACTCTTTAAAGTAGAGACACTACATACTGATATACACCTGAACATCAGCAGGAGAGGACTCTTTAAAGTAGAGACACTACATACTGATATACACCTGAACATGAGCAGGAGAGGACTCTTTAAAGTAGAGACACTACATACTGATATACACCTGAACATCAGCAGGAGAGGACTCTTTAAAGTAGAGACACTACATACTGATATACACCTGAACATGAGCAGGAGAGGACTCTTTAAAGTAGAGACACTACATACTGATATACACCTGAACATCAGCAGGAGAGGACTCTTTAAAGTAGAGACATTACATACTGATATACACCTGCACATCAGCAGGAGAGGACTCTTTAAAGTAGAGACACTACATACTGATATACACCTGAACATCAGCAGGAGAGGACTCTTTAAAGTAGAGACATTACATACTGATATACACCTGCACATCAGCAGGAGAGGACTCTTTAAAGTAGAGACACTACATACTGATATACACCTGAACATCAGCAGGAGAGGACTCTTTAAAGTAGAGACACTACATACTGATATACACCTGAACATCAGCAGGAGAGGACTCTTTAAAGTAGAGACACTACATACTGATATACACCTGAACATCAGCAGGAGAGGACTCTTTAAAGTAGAGACACTACATACTGATATACACCTGAACATCAGCAGGAGAGGACTCTTTAAAGTAGAGACACTACACACTGATATACACCTGAACATCAGCAGGAGAGGACTCTTTAAAGTAGAGACACTACATACTGATATACACCTGAACATCAGCAGGAGAGGACTCTTTAAAGTAGAGACACTACATACTGATATACACCTGAACATCAGCAGGAGAGGACTCTTTAAATAGAATTAACAGAGACTATTAAAGCCACTTTGCTTTGTAGTCCATTAGAAATAGGACCACAATTCCCAGAGAGACATTTCTCCATCGTTAAAACGGAAACCTCAAAACACTCTGAGCTTTATTATTAATTCATTTAAATACATTTATCTGATATTTCTTGGTTTCTGTAACATAGTTTCTTGGTTGAATGAGTAGAGACAACTCTTATTGTGAAAAACCACAGAAACACAACTGTGAGTAAAGCAAACAACATGCTGTAAATGTCTGCATGTTTAACAATAATATCTATAAATATATAGCTTTTTATGTATATGAGCAGGGTTTGACTAAACAACAACGTGACTAAACAACAAGGTGACTAAACAACAACGTGACTAAACAACAACGTGACTAAACAACAAGGTGACTAAACAACAAGGTGACTAAACAACAACGTGACGTCGGAGCTCCGTAGAAACCAAGCTGTCTCTGCGTCTGACGCTCTGTTTGATACTCAGATTTCTGGAGTCGTTATACCGTCTTTGAAGAACAGACATGTTGTTTTCTGGGATCACTTTAACATTTTACGAGGAAATATCTGCATTTTGGTTTGAGGGTGCACGCCGAGAGTGAGAGGGCGCAGAGCCTGTTGACCGGCTTAGACTAAACACTGATGTGTGTATATATATATATATATATATATATACACACGTGCAGTGTTTCCCCTAGGTTTACTGCTTTGGGGGGGTGCGGGGGGGTGGCTTTGGGATATTTAAAAAAAAAAATCCTCTGGAGCAGAGAGAGGAGCTGTGGATTATTGTTATTGATGAATGCATCAGTGTTTCTTAGGGTCAACAACTCACAACTTAAAATGAAAGCGTTTAGTTTATTTAATAAAAGAGCACATGTTCAATGTGAAAAGTGACAGTAGATATAGATTAGTTGCAATTTGGTGCTATATATATTAAAAAAAAAATAATAATTATTAAAAAAAAAAAAAATGTAACACCTTGAATTTCAGGGGGGGCTCCGTTGGCGGGGCTCCGTTGGCGGGGCTCCGTTGGCGGGGCTCCGTTGGCGGGGCTCCGTTGGCGGGGCGCAGCGCCCCTCCAAGACAATGGTAGGGGAAACACTGACGTGTATAACATATATTGAGTTTCCTCACGTGGAAGATGGAGTTATCTTCACCTGAAGAAGCTGCAGTCAGAGGATTTAAAGCAATAATTGATTATGAAGATAGCCAGTGATTAGCGTTTGTTGTGAACAGGAAACACTGATGTGAAGTCATGAGGAACCTTTATTGACTAAAAGATCATCTGAGGTTTGAAAGTCTAGTTTGGCTCTCGTCAATATTTATCTTCAATAACAAGTCTCCTGTTGGACTCGTGGAGTTTCTTCTGTCTTTGGGTTTCTCCTAAACTCAACAGAAGTCAGCATTACATCATCCCTTTGCATATTCAAACATGACATGTCAGAAAACAAATAACTGTGTTAATGTCCGTGATGAAGTGGGGGGGTTAACAGGGTTCTTTGTTATAAAAACATCCGTCTGTTATGTTTACGCTGCAGGCGCCGAAGACGAGGCCTATCTTTAGAAACGCTTCTACGCTTCTCTAAAGAAACTGCAGGAGCAAGTCAAACCCAGAATACTGACAGAAACAAAGGAAGTCAGAAATATGATTTATTATGAGACATTAGCTCCTTCAGACAATGCTCATTAAATATGAATACAAAGCAAGAGAAACAAAGACATTACACAAAGGAAGGTACATCATGGATAAAATATGAAATACCATTCTAAAATGTATAATAACAATTATATAAATATATTAAAAAATATATATAATAATAAAATAATATAAATATATAATACAAAAATATAAATTATATATTTATAATGAAATAATAGAAATGTATAATAAAATACTATATATTTGAGGTAGGCTGGTGTACAGAATTTGAAATGCAAAATAAATGTAAACAGGTTTTACAGTGAGATTACTTTTGAAATTATAATATATATTTAATGTGTTTAATATTTAATACAGAGGACTGAGGCATGCTGGGAAATGTAGTCCGCTGAAACACAGACGCTCCCATCACTGCCGCTGCATCTTCTGTGATCTTGTTTATGATTTAATTATACTTCAACATTTCTTAAGTTGTTTTAGCACATTTTGTGATAAAGACAAAAATTCAATTAAAGGTGGGGTAGGTCAGTTTGAGAAACCGGCCCGAGATACACTTGTTGTTATATTCCATGGAATGCTCTTAACATCCCGATAGCAATGAATATCTGAAGCGCTTTGACAATAAATCCATAAATAAATCATCACCTGTGGAAGCTGTAGTACTGTAAAAAGCACGACCAATCATCTGAGCCGGCCCGGCTGAAATAACTGGATGGCCTACCTGCCTGTCAGCCTTCCATCGGGGCACAAACTTATCTGGTGCCCTCATTGGTCATGTGCGCGTTCGTGTGTGTTGGAGGAGGGGCTCTGTAAGGAAGTGGCAGATTTGTTCCGGCTGTGTATTTTCAAATTCTAGCGCACTCGAGCCGGTTTCTCAAACTTACCTACCCCACCTTTAATGTGTTGCTTAAAATAATGCTTCTGCATACAGTATGTGACACTGTGAGTGTTGCACGGCCAGATACGGCTCAAGAAGCTGTCTCAGATAAGGAAATATGAGATACATTATGATGTGATATGAATTAGCGATGCCAGCGATTATTCGATTATTCGAATATTCGTTACAGTCTCCATAATCGAAGATTATTTTTAAAATTCGATTTTATTTATATATTTTTTTATTAATATTTATGTTTTTCTTTTTTTTCCTGGTTTGGTTTCAACCAAAATATAGACTAATAATAGTAATAGTATTAATAATTGTCAATGACCATTGATCACACCACCAGTTTGTTTTACTGTAAACTTGGAGGAAGCCAGCAGCGCAGGCTGCGCAGAGTGCTGACTGCTTGCCGGCCGTCTTTCCTGCAACGGCAGTTTTTCTGTATTTCCTTTCTCCTGTAATATGACTTGATCGCTTTAAACTCCGCACACGGAGCTCTGATTGGTCAGCAGGCGGTGCTTTCACTGAGTTGATCTCTTATCTCACAGACAGGCCTCGTGGTGTCCGTAGGCTTGCCCTCACTGTCAGAGCTACAATACTTCCACATTTCGCTTCTGGCGTCTTTTTTGTCAACAAGCCGAGGCGCAGCGGCAGTTGCACTCCCACTTGCAGCTTCTCGTTTTCTCACATGCTCTGGCAGCTAGCGCGTGCACGAGAGAGGGGAGGCACTTAGAGTGTGCACGAGAGAGGGGAGGCACTTAGAGTGTGCACGAGAGAGGGGAGGCACTTAGAGTGTGCACGAGAGAGGGGAGGCACTTAGAGCGTGCTTGAGAGGGGAGGCACTAATGGCGCATTTCCATTGCAGCGCGTAGCTCGCTTTAAGCGTGCCGTGTCGTGCCGTCCCCTTTTTTGGTTGTGCTTCCACTAGGCCTCGTTCCGGCGCGGCACGGCGCGGGGCCACTTTTTCCCCTCTTTTCTGGCCCTAGAAAATTGTGGTTCTATCGGGGCCAACAAACAGGGCTGAGTCGGGCTGAGTATGCTAAACTAGAGAGAGGAGCGCTGGCAAGAGGGCTAGAACTACAACAAGATGGACATATTTGACCGTGATTTAATTGTAATACACGTTTCTAAATGATGAAGTAACAACATACTGATACCGGTTAGTAAAAACCATGAATTAATGCTTTGTCAAGTCTGCAGACAGACGGCAGGGGAAAAACCTTTTAAAATGCGTGTTTTTCTAGATGGAGATTGGCTAAGCTAACGCAGTATATGCTCCGACCGTCCACACTCACAACAACGGCCTATACAGACATAAATAAAGCAGCGACTGTATTCACCATGACACAGACAGTCTGTGGTTTGTACTTGTTTAACTTTTGTCCAGTTTCTGAACATATATAAGGAGCTGTGAGCTCTGAGTGCTAACAGCTAACGGCTGTGTTGTGTTTCTGGAGTTCTCATTGAAGATGACGTCACGGCTCCGCCTACACTGCGTTACTATAGTAACTACCCCAGTTCCTAAACTGTAATGGAAGCGCAGCATGAAGTGAGTCGGCCCTGTTAAGGCCCAACGCGGCCAAGCCGTACCGAGCCGTACCGAGTGTGGCCGAGGCCGACCGTGTAGTGGAAATGCGCCATTAGAGCGTGCTTGAGAGGGGAGGCACTTAGAGCGTGCTTGAGAGGGGAGGGGCTGCAGGCACGGCTGCAGGGAGTGGAAGCAGAGCGCTGAACACACACGGCTCTTATTAAAACAGCGCTTTCTCACCAGAGTACTTTTCCCCGTCATTCTTAAAGTACCGATACTAATGAAACGGAGGAATCGTAACGTTTTTAACGGCAGGGTATCACGGTACCTTTCAAGTATCGGTACACCGTGCAACACTAGTCTGCATACATTACTATTACAACAAATGTGTTCATTTTCTTCATTATTAGTCGATTTCTTTGGACGAATGCTCTTGGGCCAGTGGTTACAGTGGTGGGGCCAGTGGTTACAGTGGTGGGGCCAGTGGTTACAGTGGTGGGGCCAGTGGTTACAGTGGTTACAGTGGTGGGGCCAGTGGTTACAGTGGTGGGGCCAGTGGTTACAGTGGTGGGGCCAGTGGTTACAGTGGTGGGGCCAGTGGTTACAGTGGTGGGGCCAGTGATCATACAATTCCACCGGCCCGGAGCGAGCTTCAAGTCTGCCTACTATCATGGGCCACTTCTGATTGGTTAACAATGGCTGGTACATGTAGAGCACAGCACTTCTGATTGGTGTGGATGACTGACACACAAGAAGAACAAAAAATGGCAGGCTATGCGATTTGATAATTGCATCATTTCAAATCGCGATTTCGATTAATCGTTGAGCCCTATACTACACACTGTACCACACACACCTACACACTGTACCACACTGTACCACACACACCTACACACTCTACCACACACACCTACACACTGTACCACACTGTACCACACACACCTACACACTGTACCACACACACCTACACACTGTACCACACTGTACCACACACACCTACACACTGTACCACACACACCTACACACTGTACCACACTGTACCACACACACCTACACACTGTACCACACACACCTACACACTGTACCACACTGTACCACACACACCTACACACTGTACCACACACACCTACACACTGTACCACACTGTACCACACACACCTACACACTGTACCACACACACCTACACACTGTACCACACACACCTACACACTGTACCACACTGTACCACACACACCTACACACTGTACCACACTGTACCAACCACACACACCTACACACTGTACCACACACACCTACACACTGTACCACACACACCTACACACTGTACCACACACACCTACACACTGTACCACACTGTACCACACACACCTACACACTGTACCACACTGTACCAACCACACACACACACACACACACACACACACACACACACACACACACACACACACACACACACACACAGCTCCTAAAGCATATCATCAGGCTACAGCCGTTGTGTATTTTATTTTGTGAAGCACTAAATGGTTTTAGAAACATCTGGACTCTTAGTTTGTAGATATCTACTAAACTAAAGCAAAGAGAGTAGGCCTGTTACACTGAGTGATATATATGATACACACTGCTCTGCTTTCTGCACGGACCTCACAGCTCCTCCGAGTCACTACCGGAGGACCGAGGATTCGAGGAGTCGAGGAGGGGAAATTAGAAAAATGAGAAAGGGCCCAGGTGTTTCATTCGTTGACTCCCTGTCTCCCCCCTCACAGGTTCCCTGCCAGGATGCTGCACTGAGCATGCTCAGAGCGCTGATCGTTGCCATGGTGATGTACGGAGGGGGGGGGCAGGCGTGCACCGGGGAGAACTGCTCCGCTAACAGCGAGTCCAAAGATTACTGCTATTCTGCCCGGATACGCAGCACCGTGCTGCAGGGGCTGCCCTTTGGGGGGGTGCCCACTGTGCTGGCTCTGGATTTCATGTGCTTCCTGGTGAGAGACACACACACACACACACACACACACACGCACACACAGACACACACACACACACAGACAGACAGACAGACACACAGACACAGACAGACAGACACACAGACACAGACACAGACAGACAGACAGACACATACACAGACAGACACACACAGACACAGACACACAGACACAGACACACACACACAGACAGACAGACACATACACAGACAGACACACACACACACAGCTAGACAGACACACACACACAGACACACACACACAGACACACACACACAGACAGACACACAGACACACACACAGACAGACAGACACAGACAGACAGACACACACACACACACACACAGACACATACAGACACACACACACAGACAGACAGACACATACACAGACAGACACACACACACACACATGAAGAGGTTTGAATCTGACTGACAGGAAGCTCTCCCTCCTCTTCCTCCTCCTCTTCAGGTGCTGCTCTTCGTCTTCTCCATCCTGAGGAAGGTAGCGTGGGATTATGGCCGCCTGGCGCTGGTCACTGACGCCGACAGGTAAACACACCTGGTGCTTTGTCCTCTGATATTCAACTGTTTACAATTAAGATTCTAGGTTTTTATTCTTATCCACCCAAAAACATGATGCCTAACCTCAATGAACATCATGTGACCAACATCTGGCTCTGAGCACTGTGAGCCATGTTCATGCTCAACTCTCTGACTGACTCTGCTGTATCATCATATGCACAGTAGCTACAGTGTAGTTATGGCGATGGAAATCTGAGGTCCCAAACTAATTAAGCTTCAGTTTAAAGAAACACTGAGAAAGACGTTCTCTGAGAAGTTTAGTGTTTGGAGCAAAACACTTCATAGACATGTTTTTTATTTATCTGTATATATCTGAGACCCATTATATATACCTTAAAATAGCATGATAGGAGACCTTTAAGGTTATGTGATGAATATACGAAAAACGTGAGATTTACATATACAATAACAAATCTTGGAAATTCTCCAAAAAAAGGTTAATTTACAAGAAAAAGTCATGTTTGTTGTGTTTCACCAGATGTTAATAAAGTTTATTTGTTGTGAGTGACTGTGTTCTTCCCCTGAAGACTGAAGCAGCGTTTCAGCGAGGACGAGCGGGAATAGTACGTTGCTGCTCCGCCATGTTTGGTTTGTCCTAACGACTTCCTCTGGTTCATTAACAGGAGCTGCTCTCTGATTGGTGCACTAACTCCTCCTCTAACTCCTTTCTCCTTCTTCTTCGTTGGTACAGGGGTTACTGGTGCTACCTCTCTGGTTGTATGAAGGTGATCAGTGCCACATGTAGAGATGAGGGTCTGATATCTGAGTTAAACATCAAGTGATCAGGAGAGAGTGCTGCCCCCTACAGGCAGGGAGGGAGCAGCAGTACACACACTGCGTACTGAAGTACACACTTTGCTACCTAGAGTGTGTACTCAGTGTAGAGTACTTTAAGTAGGTAAAAGTACTCTTTCTGCAGAACGCTAACTTTATTTATCTGACACCTTTGCGGTAGTCGACAAATTACATTTTTTGTTTTCAATTAATTTAGTTTGATTGAACTAATAGATTTTAAAAAATGGGAAATAATAAATATTGAAGCGTGTGGCACTAATCACCTCTCATACACCATCAACACTGGTGTGTGTGTGGGGGGTGTGTGGGTCTGGATCACTGTCTGTTGGCAAATGTTACGCTAACAGATGTGGTGCTAACATTTTAGGCTAACGTGTGATGCTAACAGATGTGGTGCTAACATTTGATGCTTACTGATGTGGTGCTAACAGCTGTTAGGCTAACATGCGATGCTAACCCTGCTCCCACACTTTGCTTCATTTGATACGTAACGTCAGCCGGCGGCGAGACAGAGATAACTATGAGCCGGTGAAAAGGTAACGGGTCGAGCGTGTTTATCTCCGTGTCGTGACCCCGTGACCCCGTGCTAGCTAGATAGTTAGCTGGTTAGCTAACTCCACACATTCACAGGTGGGAGAAGTACCAGAAATACTGCATTTAAAGTCCTACCGTCAATGTTTACATTAAAGTAAGAGAAGTATTCCCAGGTCAATTTCAAGTATTACAAATAGTTTATGTATTGGATTTGAGATTAGCAAAAATACAGAATTATTCTTAGTGAATTGAATTGTAATGAAGTAAAAGCACTTGTTCTGCTGAATGTGCTTTAGTAGTAAGAGAGGAGGACTTGTATTTAGAGTAATGAGCTAGCTTCAAGGTAGCACAGAATGAGCTAGCTTCAAGGTAGCACAGAATGAGCTAGCTTCAAGGTAGCACAGAATGAGCTAGCTTCAAGGTAGCACAGAATGAGCTAGCTTCAAGGTAGCACAGAATGAGCTAGCTTCAAGGTAGCACAGAATGAGCTAGCTTCAAGTAGCACAGAATGAGCTAGCTTCAAGGTAGCACAGAATGAGCTAGCTTCAAGGCTAGCACAGAATGAGCTAGCTTCAAGGTAGCACAGAATGAGCTAGCTTCAAGTAGGCACAGAATGAGCTAGCTTCAAGGTAGCACAGAATGAGCTAGCTTCAAGGCACGGCACAGAATGAGCTAGCTTCAAGGTAGCACAGAATGAGCTAGCTTCAAGGCAGGCACAGAATGAGGCTAGCTTCAAGGTAGCACAGAATGAGCTAGCTTCAAGGTACGCACAGAATGAGCTAGCTTCAAGGTAGCACAGAATGAGCTAGCTTCAAGGTAGCACAGAATGAGCTAGCTTCAAGGTAGCACAGAATGAGCTAGCTTCAAGGTAGCACAGAATGAGCTAGCTTCAAGGCAGCACAGAATGAGCTAGCTTCAAGGTAGCACAGAATGAGCTAGCTTCAAGGCAGCACAGAATGAGCTAGCTTCAAGGTAGCACAGAATGAGCTAGCTTTCAAGTAGGCACAGAATGAGCTAGCTTCAAGGTAGCACAGAATGAGCTAGCTTCAAGGTAGCACAAGAATGAGCTAGCTTCAAGGTAAGCACAGAATGGAGCTAGCTTCAAGGTAGCACAGAATGAGCTAGCTTCAAGGTAGCACAGAATGAGCTAGCTTCAAGGTACGTCACAGAATGAGCTAGCTTCAAGGTAGTCACAGAATGAGCTAGCTTCAAGGTAAGTCACAGAATGAGCTAGCTTCAAGGTAGCACAGAATGAGCTAGCTTCAAGGTAGCACAGAATGAGCTAGCTTCAAGGTAGCACAGAATGAGCTAGCTTCAAGGTAGCACAGAATGAGCTAGCTTCAAGGTAGCACAGAATGAGCTAGCTTCAAGGTAGCACAGAATGAGCTAGCTTCAAGGCAGCACAGAATGAGCTAGCTTCCAAGGTAGCACAGAATGAGCTAGCTTCAAGGGTAGCACAGAATGAGCTAGCTTCAAGGTAGCACAGAATGAGCTAGCTTCAAGGTAGCACAGAATGAGCTAGCTTCAAGGCAGCACAGAATGAGCTAGCTTCAAGGTAGCACAGAATGAGCTAGCTTCAAGGTAACACAGAATGAGCTAGCTTCAAGGTAACACAGAATGAGCTAGCTTCAAGGTAGCACAGAATGAGCTAGCTTCAAGGCAGCACAGAATGAGCTAGCTTCAAGGTAGCACAGAATGAGCTAGCTTCAAGGTAGCACAGAATGAGCTAGCTTCAAGGTAGCACAGAATGAGCTAGCTTCAAGGTAGCACAGAATGAGCTAGCTTCAAGGTAGCACAGAATGAGCTAGCTTCAAGGTAGCACAGAATGAGCTAGCTTCAAGGCAGCACAGAATGAAACTATCTTTTCAATGTGTGGCACCCTGACGACCATCCTATCCTCACCGTGTTGTTTTATTGCAGCTGTGTCAATAAAGGTGTGTGTTTCTACTTCCTGTTAGCTCCCTCTGTGTTCAGCAGGGCGGCTACATGCTAACAGCTAACGGCTTACTTCCTGTTTCACAGCGTTGCCTCTGCGATGCACTCGGAGACTCCGGACCGATACGAGCGACTCACCTCCGTCTCCAGCTCCGTGGACTTCGACCAGAGGGACAATGTGAGACTCCTTTACTCCTCCTTTAACTCCCCCTTCTCTCATCCCTCCATCACCTCCTCCTCTCCTCCTCCTCCTCCTCCTCCTCCTCCTCTCCTCCTGACTCTCCTCTCTGTGTCTGCAGGGTTTCTGCTCCTGGCTGACGGCCATCTTCAGAATAAAGTGAGTATCATCTAATATCAATTTAAGTCAACAACAATTCCCCCCTCCTCCTGTAGGGATGAGGAGATCAGGGAGAAGTGTTAGCTAGATGATGGTGATGAAGATGATGATGATGATGATGATGAAGATGGTGATGATGATGGTGATGAAGATGAGGATGAAGATGGTGATGATGATGGTGATGATGAAGAATATGATGGTGATGATGAAGATGATGGTGGTGGTGATGATGATGATGGTGATGATGAAGAATATGATGGTGATGATGGTGATGAAGATGATGATGGTGATTATGATGATGGTGATGATGGTGGTGATGATGAAGAATATGATGGTGGTGATGATGATGATGGTGATGATGATGATGGTGGTGATGATGAAGAATATGATGATGAAGATGATGGTGGTGATGGTGATGAAGATGATGGTGATGATGATGGTGGTGATGATGATGATGGTGAAGATGGTGGTGGTGATGGTGGTGATGATGATGATGGTGATGGTGGACGAATTACACATATGATGTTTGTCAATCTTAAAAAATCATTTCCATGTCAAAAAAGTCACAGTTTGTCGTAAAACTGTTGAAATATAAGACTATGAAAAATACGCAACTAGAAAGACTACAAATCCCAGAGTCGCGTAAGTGATGTCACAATTGTTTTCCTCCACTAAGAGATAGCTAAGATCAGCGCCATATAGATATAATCTATCTATATGGCGCTGGCTAAGATAAGATAACTTTAACAAGATGCCTGTGTGCTTAGTACCAGGTTGTTATCATACCAGCAATGGGTCTTGCTCGTTCTTTCGCTTCCCGTCTGATGAAAGGACCAGGAGTGGCTTGATCAAGTTAGCTACCTAGCTAGTAGCTAGCACGTTAGTTAGCATTACAGCCTTGTCATTTGTATTAGCCTTAACATGAAGTAACATGAAGTAACCCAAAATGTTAAACAGTAAGAGTAGTAGTCATATTTCGTGAACCCTTTGAAGAGTACTGTCACACCGGTGTGATCATTCTATAATACACCATTTAAGCCCGGGGGAGAAATGCTAACGCTAACGCTACATTAGCTTCGGCGATCTTTTCTACTTCATGCTATCTGCACAAATGGTTGACATTAAAACGACCAGGCAGTTCAGAGAGAATCAAAGGAAGGCAGGCAGGAAGCTTTGCATGACTTTCTTCAGGACGTGTTTCATTGTGGTGATAGTGAGGGTAGTCAATCGTTTTGTTGACAAGACAGTAGTGACGGCCATCTTGGTGACGTGTGTTGTTGACCAGAGATGTAGTTCATTGAGCGTTTCACACAAACAAATGTGTTACTTCACAGTTTTACGACACATCTTTTTTTTTTTGACTTGCAAAATTATCTTTTAAATTGACAAACATCATATGTGTAATTCGTGGTACAATTCAAACGGGATCGAAAGATAATCTTTCTCTCTCCATTGACTTCAATACATAATTTTTCCAAAATAAGGTCCCATGGAGGTCCCCCGGAAGGGGAGGGACTTCGCCACTCTATCCCCTCAAACCTCCTTCAGACTATCGCTCCTGATATTCTACCGTTTCTCACCCATTTCATCAACGCTTCTCTAACTTCTGGTGACTTTCCAAACAATCTCAAGGAGGCAAGAGTAAACCCTCTCCTAAAGAAACCCACTCTCAACCCGTCCGATGTTATAAACTACAGGCCTGTCTCTCTCCTCCCGTTCCTGTCTTTAAACAACTCTCCTGTTATCTCCATCAGAACAACCTTCTGGATCCGCACCAGTCTGGTTTCAAGGCAGGTCACTCCACAGAAACTGCTCTCCTGTCTCTGAGGAACTGCACACGGCTAAAGCAGCCTCCCTCTCCTCTGTCATCATCCTGTTGGACCTGTCTGCTGCATTCGACACGGTGAACCATCAGATCCTCCTTCACACTCTCCAAGAACTTGGAGTTTCAGGCTCTGCACTTTCCCTCCTCACCTCATACCTAGAAGACCGCACCTACAGGGTAACTTGGAGAGGGTCCGAGTCCGACCCTTGTCAATTAACTACAGGGGTCCCTCAGGGCTCTGTTCTTGGTCCCCTCCTCTTCTCTCTGTACACAAACTCGCTCGGATCAGTCATTGGCCCGCATGGTTTTTCATACCACTGCTACGCTGACGACACCCAATTCATTCTGTCCTTTCCCCGCTCAGAGACCCAGGTCGTCGCACGCATCTCTGCTTGTCTAGCAGACATCTCTCAGTGGATGTCTGCTCACCACCTCAAGCTCAACCTTGACAAGACTCAACTGCTTTTCCTTCAGGGAAAAGATTGTCCCACTCTTGACCTAACAATCAACATCGGCCCCTCTGTTGTTTCCCCGACTCGGACTGCAAGGAATCTGGGTGTGACCCTAGATAACAACCTGTCCTTCACTGCAAACATCGCTGCTACAACCCGCTGCTGCAGATACACGCTTTACAACATCAGGAGGATACGTCCCCTCCTGACCCAGAAAGCAGGTTCTGGTCCAGGCTCTCGTCATCTCACGCCTAGACTACTGCAACTCCCTCCTGGCTGGTCTACCTGCATGTGCCATCCCACCTCTGCAGCTCATCCAGAATGCAGCGGCTCGTCTGGTCTTCAACCTTCCTAAATGTTCCCACACCACGCCGCTCCTCCGCTCCCTTCACTGGCTTCCAGTAACTGCTAGAATCCACTTCAAGACACTGGTACTAGCGTACCATGCTGTGAATGGATCTGGCCCTTCCTACATCCAGGACATGGTTAAACCATACACCCCAGCACGTGCACTCCGCTCTGCATCAGCCAAACGTCTCGCTGCACCCGCACTGCGAGGGGGACCCAAGTTCCCATCAGCAAAAACACGTGGGTTTGATATCCTGGCTCCAACATGGTGGAATGAGCTCCCCATTGACATCAGGACAGCAGAAAGCTTACACATCTTCCAGAGCAGACTGAAGACTCATCTCTTTCGACTCCACTTCGAGCGATAGAAGCACTAACAAAGCACTTATATACTAACAAAGGACTGGCTTATCTAAAGCTAGTTGAGTAGCACTTGAAATGTTTTGGCTCTATGAAACCTGATGTTCTTATATGATTCTGTCTTCTTCAAGTTTGTATCTTCTTGGTCGAATGCACGTATTGTAAGTCGCTTTGGATAAAAGCGTCAGCTAAATGTAATGTAATGATGATGATAATGATGCCCCCCCCCTCCTCTTGCAGGGATGAGGAGATCAGAGAGAAGTGTGGAGAGGATGCAGTTCACTACCTCTCGTTCCAGAGGCACATCATTGGGCTGCTGGTGGTGGTGGGGGTCCTCTCAGTGGGCATCGTGCTGCCTGTCAACTTCTCTGGAGACCTGCTGGGTGAGAGACTATACTCACTATATACATATATATATATATATATATACAGAGAGAGAGAGAGAGAGAGAGATCGATCACCGGTTACGATTGTTGTTGTTAGCATCTGGTGCTAGATCAGAGCTAACGGCTATAAGGAGCTGTTTCTACAACAAGGTGGAGGAGAGCTCTCTCCTGTCAGACTGAGAGGCTGATAACATCAGCTCAGTGAGGTAAGGGACTCTCTGAGGGTTTAGATAACACTTTAACTTTAGTCTAAGTTATCTCGGTGAGTCTCAAATTGTTTGGTCACCTATGTAAACTAAAATAAACTAAATAATGTGACATTTCATTACACATGTGCATTCGAAATTACATACAAAAATCCTCATAAGTGTGTGGAGAGGTTTTGGATGAATGCAGTGTGAGCAGTAAATAAATCCTGCAGTCGTTAAAAACTGTGTGTGTGTGTGTGTGTGTGTGTGTGTGTGTGTGTGTGTGTGTGTGTGTGTGTGTGTGTGTGTGTGTGTGTGTGTGTGTGTGTGTGTGTGTGTGTGTGTGTGTGTGTGTGTGTGTGTGTGTGTGTGTGTGTGTGTGTGTGTGTGTGTGTGTGTGTGTGTGTGTGTGTGTGTGTGTGTGTGTGTGTGTGTGTGTGTGTGTGTGTGTGTGTGTGTGTGTGTGTGTGTGTGTGTGTGGTTTTAGTCCGAATTATCAGTAAAGACGCTCTGTGGAGCCGGGTGTACCCCCGCCCCCCCTCTAAAGAAGGTAACAGCTACAGGCTACTGTTAGCATCCAGGTGTTGGGATACTAGTGTTAGCGTCCTGGTGTTAGCATTTGTGGTGTTAGCATCGTGTTGTTAGGATACTAATGTTAGCATCGTGGTGTTATGATACTGGTGTTAGCATCGTGGTGTTAGGATAAGAGAAGATGGACCTTTATTAATCCCCGTGGTCAAATTCAGTTGTACAAAGCAGCAACAGGGTAAGCGTGAAAAAACAGGACAGCATAATAATGATAATAATAAAAGACTATGAAATAGGAGTAAAATAACTGTCAGCATATATACATTTTTTTTTTATATATACTATGATACTAGTGTTAGCGTCCTGGTGTTAGCATCGTGGTGTTAGGATACTAGTGTTAGCGTCGTGGTGTTAGGATACTAGTGTTAGCGTCCTGGTGTTAGCATCGTGGTGTTAGGATACTAGTGTTAGAATCCAGGTGTTAGGATACTAGTGTTAGCGTCCTGGTGTTAGCATTGTGGTGTTAGGATACTGGTGTTAGCATCGTGGTGTTAGGATACTAGTGTTAGCATCGTGGTGTTAGGATACTGGTGTTAGCATCGTGGTGTTAGGATACTGGTGTTAGGATACTAGTGTTAGCATCCTGGTGTTAGGATACTGGTGTTAGCATCCTGGTGTTAGGATACTAGTGTTAGCATCGTGGTGTTAGGATACTAGTGTTAGCGTCCTGGTGTTAGCATTGTGGTGTTAGCATCCAGGATTTCAAAAACATGACATCACATTTACGGACCGTCCACACAGCAGCGTTAAAAAAATCTTGGAACGCTTCTGCCCATTCACTTTGAATGGGGTGACGTCATTTGCCTCACTTTTCGCCGAACTGCATTGTGGGCAGGCGAGCGGAGATTTTCAGGATTTTCAGGATTCAAAGTTGAGCAATGTTCAACTTTTGAGGCTGAGGTGGAAGCGTCAGCCAATCAAATCCCGTGTATGCTGGGAGAGACATACCGCAGGTCATTTCCTCATATTCCAAAACATGGAGGAGAAATGAGCGGTAGGGAATCACCCGGTGCTTTATGACCAGTCCCTATTTACCTACCGGGATACAAACCGGAGGAGCCAGGCATGGAGGGAGGTGGCAGAGACAGTGGTATGTTTTCGCCTGTTTGGAGTTTATATCCAGTTTACTTCAAACTTTTTTGCTTCGTATGTCGCGGGCGGGAGATTCATGTGATTGGTTGTTGGTGCCTTGCTCGCAAAAAATCCCCAAGCTTCAGATACGCCCACCTCCAAGATTTTTTTAACGCTGCTGTGTGGACGGTCCGTTACAGTAAAGATTAAATCCTGTGACATTTCTCTACGTTGTTCTGTTAAAGATATTATTTGTGTGTGTGTGTGTGTGTGTGTGTGTGTGTGTGTGTGTGTGTGTGTATTTTAGTCCGAATTATCATTAAAGAGGCTCCATTGAGCCGGACGGGCCCCCGCCCCCCCTCGAAAGAAGGTAACAGCTACGGGCTACTGTTAGCATCGTGGTGTTAGCATCGTGGTGTTAGCATCGTGGTGTTAGCGTTAGCACTAAGCTCCTCCCCCTGCAGAGTCACCCTCCGGACCTCGAGCAGCTTCCTGTCTGCAGCATCATGGCTCCAATGATAGAGAGCATTTCAAAACAAATGAATCTGCAGAATAAAAGTTACAGTGCCATAAATCATCAAAACATAAAACGCAAGTTCAGATTATTTTATTTTATTTTACAAACATTTAAAAAAGTGCCCATCTCATGTTTCTACATGATCTGGTTTTGCACACGGCACACACTTTATTTTGGGAGTTATTTTAATGAGAATTTGATGAAATAAAATGTATGTTTTTACCTTTTATTTGTTTATTTCTTCACTGTCGGAGGCATTTAAGGACCGTTAGAAACATAAACATCTGTTTTAAAAAATAAATATCAAACTCAGATGCTGAAGCTGCTAAATACATGAGTTTATGATCTGAAATAAAGCATTATTTGTTATTAGTTTATTGAAACAAGAAGCTGTCAGATAAATGTATTTCCTCTGTGATTAGTAGACGTATAAAGTAGCAGGAAGTAGAAATACTCCAGTAAAGTACCTCCTGTGTGTACTGCAATATCTGTGTTGTGTGTATTTTTGTATGTGACCCTGAAGTATCTCAGCACATCCTTTTAAGTTTTTAAAAACGTCTTAAACAATAACATTTGTATTTGTTCCAGAAAACAACGCGTACAGCTTCGGACGCACGACCATCGCCAACCTGAAGTCTGGGTGAGTGCCGGGAGATTATACTGTATATAATATATATAATATTAGGGCTGTCAGTCGATTAAAATAGTTAATCGTGATTAATCGCAAATTAATCGCACATTTTCTATCTGTTCTAAATGTACCTTAGAGGGATATTTTTCAAGTTTTTAATACTTATGAGTGGACAAATATGCTTTATATGTTTGTTTATTATCATTTGAACAATGACAAATATTCTCATGAATATTAAACACAACAACCTGGAACCTCTCTCATACAATTGTGTGTGTGTGTGTGTGTGTGTGTGTGTGTGTGTGTGTGTGTGTGTGTGTGTGTGTGTGTGTGTGTGTGTGTGTGTGTGTGTGTGTGTGTGTGTGTGTGTGTGTGTGTGTGTGTGTGTGTGTGTGTGTGTGTGTGTGTGTGTGTGTGTGTGTGTGTGTGTGTGTGATGTGTGTGTGTGTGTGTGTGTGTGTGTGTGTGTGTGTGTGTGTGTGTGTGTGTGTGTGTGTGTGTGTGTGTGTGTGTGTGTGTGTGTGTGTGTGTGTGTGTGTGTGTGTGTGTGTGTGTGTGTGTGTGTGTGTGTGATGTCCCACTGTCTGGCTACCTGCATCAAGTCAAGTGCTCGGCGCAGTTGTCGGCGAAATGTCGCTCCTCTGTTTTCATTGAAACAGCTCCTTATATCCGTTAGCGCAGCTAGCTAGCACCAGATGCTAACAACAACAACAACACGTAAGGTGTGCCTTGCTCGCCCCACACATACACACACCCTCCCGGTCCTCCCGATGGCCAGTCCGGGCCTGCCGGTGAGCGTGGAAGTGTGGTCTGCCACAAGCGGGCGGCAGGAGCGGGGCTGTCAGCATCAGCTTGTAGATGGTATTTTAAACTCGATGCGCTCTGAAACTACGGGGCGGCCGAGGACAAAAAATACACATGCGTTAATCGCGTTAAAATAATTAGTGGCGTTCATTTTTTTTGCGTTAACGCGTTATTAACGATTTCAGCTCTGGCTTTGATTTGGTGGGATTTACCTTTTCAGAATTTTGTGTAAATATGATTTATTTATTTGTTTGTTTATTTGTTTGTTTATGTGTCTCTCTCTCAGGACCAACCTGCTGTGGCTGCACACCTCCTTCGCCTTCATGTACCTGCTGCTGACCGTCTACAGCATGAGGAGACACACCTCCAAGATGCACTACAAGGAGGACGACCTGGTGAGACACACACACACACACACACACACAGACACACACACACACACACACACACACACACACACACACACAGACACAGACACAGACACACACACACACAGACACACACACACACAGACACACACACACAGACACACACAGACACACACACACACACACACAGACACAGACACACACAGACACAGACACACACATACACACACACACACACACACACACACACACACACACACACACACAGACACACACCTCCAAGATGCACTACAAGGAGGATGACCTGGTGAGCCAAACACACACACACACACACACACGCAGCATTATACACATACACACATGCACACACCTGCAGCATTACACACACAGCATTGCTTACACACACACACACACACACACACACACACATACTTGCAGCATTACACACATACACACACCTGCATCATTACACTGACCTTTCGTGACCATGTCAAAACATATAAGGAAGCTCTCTCCCACGCCAAGACTCACTACTACTCCCATCTCATCGGTGCCCAGCAAAGCAACCCCAGAACACTGTTCTCCACCATCAACCGCCTACTCCGCCCCCCTGACGCCCCCCAGCCCTCAGGGGCTCCCGATCTGTGCTCCAAATTCCTCGACTTCTTCCAGGCGAAAGTCGAGGCCATCCATCAGCAGCTCCTGGCGACTGGCCCTCCCCCCCTACCTGCATCTCAGCCACCTGGTAACGCACCCCAAGCGCCGCGCCTCTCCCACTCCAACCTCTCCTCCTTCTCCCTTGTGGATGCTCTCCAAGTGGCCAAACTGGTCTGCTCGGCCAAGACCTCCACCTGCTCCCTGGACCCTATGCCCACAGCCCTGGTCAAGGACTGCCTACCCACCCTCTGTCCCTACATGGTGGTCATCATCAACGCTTCTCTGGCTCCTGGTATACTCCCCACCAGCTTCAAAATGGCCTCAGTCACCCCCATACTCAAAAAACCTGGCCTGGACCCCGACGACCTCCAGAACCACCGGCCGATCTCCAACCTTCCCTTCCTAAGCAAAACTCTGGAAAGAGTGGTCGCCGGCCAACTCCATCTGTACATGTCCAACCATGAGCTCTATGAGCCCTTCCAATCCGGCTTCAGACAGCAACACAGCACTGAGACCGCCCTCATCAAGATCACCAACGATCTCCTCATTGCTGCTGACTCTGGCCGCCTCAGCATCCTAATCCTCCTGGACCTCTCTGCAGCGTTTGACACCATCTCTCCCAACATCCTCCTCACCCGCCTCTCAGACCTCCTAGGTGTCACTGGCACAGCGCTGTCTTGGTTCACATCCTACCTCCATAACAGGAAACAGTTTGTCTCCATCAATGGCTCAAATTCACCCCCGGCCCCAGTCCACCACGGTGTACCCCAGGGCTCTGTGCTTGGCCCCCTCCTGTTCACCATTTACATGCTCCCCCTCGGCCAGATCATCCGACATCATGGACTCAATTTACACTGTTACGCTGATGATACCCAACTGTATCTCAGCACCACTCCATCCTCCCAGCTCCCCCCTCAGTCTCTCATCAATTTCCTGCATGACATCAAAGCATGGATGTCTTCCAACTATCTCAAACTAAACAGCAAGAAAACAGAGCTCATGGTTGTGGCACCCAAGGCGCTGCTCCAGAAGGTTGGTGACTTCATCCTTGAGGTCGACGGCTGCTCCATCTCCCCATCTCCTGAAGCCCGCAACCTGGGTGTCATCCTCGACTCCACCCTTTCCTTCCACTCGTCAAGTCTGTGACCACATCGGCCTTTTTCCACCTGAGGAACATTGCCAGACTCCGACCGTCACTCTCGGAGTCTGTTGCCGAAACCCTAGTTCATGCGTTTGTCACCTCCCGCTTGGACTACTGCAATGGTGTCCTGTTTGGGGTTCCCAACAAAACCCCGGACAGGCTCCAGTATGTCCAAAACTGTGCTGCTAGGGTACTCGCACACACAAAGCCGTGGCAGCACATCACTCCCACCCTCATCCACCTACACTGGTTGCCGGTCAAATCCCGCATATCATACAAAATCCTCCTCCTTACCTACAAGTCCCTCCATGCCCCCCAGTACCTATCGGACATCCTTCACCCACATGCCCCACCCCGGAACCTGCGGTCTTCAGACTCTGGCCTGCTCACCACCCCCCGCACCAAACGAACCTTCGGGGACAGAGCCTTCAGTGTGGCAGCCCCCACCCTCTGGAACGCTCTCCCTGCGGAGATCCGCAACATCCCCACACTTGACGCCTTCAAAAGGGCCCTCAAGACCCATCTGATTACTAAGGCCTTTGGCCCCTAATCTATCTGTTGTTTTGTCTGTCTGACTGGTTGTCTGACTGCCTTTTGTTTTGTTATGTTTGTTTTTGCCCTATTCTTCTTTGTTAAAGCAACCTTGGGTCTCATGAAAGGCGCTATATAAATCCAAGCTATTATTAATATTATTATCATTACACACACACACGCACACACACACACACGCACACACTCATCACACACACCTGCAGCATCACACACACACACACACACACACACACACACACAGCATTACTTACACACACACTCATCACACACACCTGCAGCATCACACACACACACACACACACACACACACACACACAGCATTACTTACACACACACTCATCACACACACCTGCAGCATCACACACACACACACACACACACACACACACACACACACACACTCATCACACACACCTGCAGCATCACACGCACACACGCACACACTCATCACACACACCTGCAGCATCACACACACACACACACACACACACACTCATCACACACACCTGCAGCATCACACACACACCTTTACCTGCATGCATGTGAATCTTGAAAACATGAGAAGGTGTGTTTGTGTTCTAATCCCAGGGTTGTGTCTTGCAGGTGAAGCGCACTTTGTTCATTAACGGCATCTCTAAATACGCCGAGGAGAGTCAGATCAAGCAGCACTTTGAGTGAGTCCTCTGATCCCTTTCCTCACCTGGAGATGTGTAATGTGACAACACACGTACTGTACATCAAATACACACTGTTCTCACAATAACTTCTTACCGGCACACTAATTAAATATATTTAATATGTATATATGACCCAAATATGTATACATATATTTAATTAATTTCTTATTTTAAAAGTTACTTACCTGTATATCATTTTAATTGTATCTTTAATTGAATGAATCTCTAATCTGTGTGAATCGGTGCTGTTTCTCAATCTCACCCTGTTGCTGTTAAACTACTGAACACGGGGATTAATAAAGCTCCATCTTATCTTATTTTATCTTGTCTAATCTTAGATAACACCCTGGGCTCATATTTTATCTGTTTTTTGTACCAGCAGGTGGCAGCATAGTCAAAGTAGCATTGAGCTTCATTTACAAGTGAACTTGTGCAAGGTCTCCTATCATGCAAAAGTCACTTTCTGATGTCTTCTCTACATCACCATGTGTCCCCGGTGTGTCAGGAGACTCACAAAGTGATGTCTTCTCTACATCACCATGTGTCCCCGGTGTGTCAGGAGACTCACAAAGTGATGTCTTCTCTACATCACCATGTGTCCCGGTGTGTCAGGAGACTCACTAAGTGATGTCTTTTCTACATCACCATGTGTCCCCGGTGTGTCAGGAGACTCACAAAGTGATGTCTTCTCTACATCACCATGTGTCCCCGGTGTGTCAGGAGACTCTCAAAGTGATGTCTTCTCTACATCACCATGTGTCCCCGGTGTGTCAGGAGACTCACATAGTGATGTCTTCTCTACATCACCACGTGTCCCCGGTGTGTCAGGAGACTCTCTAAGTGATGTCTTCTCTACATCACCATGTGTCCCCGGCAGAGCCGGCCCGACCCATTAAGCGACATAAGCGACCGCTTAGGGCCCCGCAGCCACTAAGGGCCCCTAGCAAAAATGATTATTTTTTTACAGCTACGTTACTTTGAATTGCGGGGGTAAGCTAAACCGTTAGCAAGTAGCTATAGCTAGCCAGATATATTAAAGGGGACCTATCATGCAAAATGCACTTTTGTACGTCTTTTCTACATGAATATGTGTCCCCGGTGTTCCAGGGAACTCACCAAGTGTCAGAAAACACAACCCTCTCTATTTTCCTCCATACCCAAATCTCTAAAAAAGGGGCTGCAACGGATCTGATAAAAACTGATCCAGATTTGAACACTGTCCTGACGTCAGGACGGTGGCGCTACGGCTATTGGGCCAACTCTCCACCTATCAGGGGAATGTGGGGTTGGGCCACGGCCGGCCATTGCCGCTCGAAAGCGCTGGAGACGCTGTAGTACATATGCCAGGCCTGTAAGTGGCGCTGTAGTCTGCCACAAAAGCAGCGAAGAAGACTTCCCGCCCATAGTTACCATGGTTACCCTTCTGTTTATTCTCCGCTGTGGCTTTCTTTCTCCCTCCCCGAGGCAAGCGTTTGCTCCCGCTGCTTTAATTCAATGCAATCCCTCCCCGTCGAGGCAAGCACTGTAATTCTCTCCGGTTAGTCCACCAGCAGATGACAAACACCCACCTCTCCGCCTCTTCCAAGGAACCAGGGGACCGTGCGGCAGAGTTTCAGTTTCAGTTTGTTTCGCCAGTCAAGATGTCCGTTAAAGTTTAAATCTTCCGGACAAAATTAGAAAAGTGCCGGTCAAAGGTCTTCTTTGTTATTTATTGAGCTTTAAAACAAATGAATAACGACTCTATATAATAAAACACGGAGGACGGAGATCTCTTTTTCTCCCCCTCTTCTGACAGCCCAGCAGCTGATCAGAGCACGTCTCCCCTCTCCTGCAGGGGGGCGTGGTCAGCAGAATCAGACCCGTAGACAGCAAACAGCACATAGAGCGAAATGAGGCATGGCTAAAATGCATGATCTGTTTGGTATTTTGAAAACAGAAACGTATAAATATACCTTATATAGGTATGGCCCTACAATATATCATTTAAATATAGCATGATAGGTCCACTTTAAATAAACACTTTGTCATACAATCTAAATGTAATGTTTTTTAGCGTTACCTGGTGATTTCAAAGAAAGCTCTCTGGGAAATGTTGACTTACTGTTCGACATGAAGCTAGAAGCTACCTTACAGTACACAGTTGATCCTGAGTCCTGTCAGTTAAAGTGTTTCATAGTTAGCTTAGCTAAGCATCAACCTAGCACTGAAATATATGGATGTTATGTGACAGTATTTCTGAGGAAAAGTCAGCTGAAATGGTGGCATAGTTGCCACAGCTTTACCTGTCGACTGTTTGAACGTATTTGCAGCAGTACATGTGGCTGTTTGGCCACTGACGTTGCCATAACAACACCTGAATGTAAATGGGCAACCTCTTTTTGTGACAGATTTTTGCATGAAATTATAATTCTTCTGAATGATATTCCTCTTGACAGCTAGTTTCTATGTGAACATTATGAGATGGACAGCCAGAGAGAATACATGAAAAACAGTTATGAAATACTGTATGACAAAACAAGAAAACAGTTTAAAAGGGGAGTGATTTGTAAAATATCCATAAAGAAAAATCTGTTTACAGTTCTGTTTCATATGGGTGTTGAGAGATGTATCCATAGCTCTCAAAGTGCACCAGATTCATGCTTTTAACTTCAATATTTAAAAAAAATCTTACCGGGGGAGCATGCCCCCGGACCCCCCTAGAGGAGGTGAGGACCCTCCTAGAGGAGGTGAGGACCCCCCTAGAGGAGGTGAGGACCCCCCTAGAGGATGTTAGGTCCACGGTGTTTACATGCTTATGTATACAATATGTGTGCTTATGCTAACATCATAAGACAAAAGTTGGTTCCGTGTTGTGTGTAGTGAGAACGAGCTAGAGTGAGGGGCCAAAGCTCGCTTAGGGCCCCCAAAGGTCTAGGGCCGGCCCTGGTCCCCGGTGTGTCAGGAGACTCTCAAAGTGATGTCTTCTCTACATCACCATGTGTGTCCCCGGTGTGTCCCCGGTGAGAGGAGACTCACAAAGAGTCAGGAATAAACCCCTCTCTCTTTTCCTCCGTACCCACATCTCTAAAAACGGGGGAACAACGGAGCTGATCCAGATTTGCTGCGTCATGACCACATTACTAAAATGTGGGCGGGCTTTACACCCACGGGCCAATCAGAAACGTTGCTGTCAGAAACAATGTGTTTACATTAGCATGGCTAACACTCAGAGCTAACCTGTACTGGAGAGAGCATGTGTGAAGAAGCAGGAAATCAAAAGGAAGTCACCTTGTGGTAAACCTGAGAGAGAAAGAGTTTGAGCTCCATACTGTTTCAGAGAGAATCCTTGATGTGGTTTGGAACATGATGTGGAGTTTCATCACGGCAGCATTTAGCTGAGTTTCTGCTGGGAGAATTCTGAGCAGGCATTAGCTCCCCCTCCTCTTTTTTTTTTTTTTCAAGCTAAGGACCCAAAATCAGCGTTTCTCCAACAGGCTGAAACAGAGGGATATGACACATGTTTTTATATATTTTGATATATCTGAGACCCATAATATATGCCTAAAAGTAGCATCAGGGTGTCCGCGGGCTCTTCAAAAGTATTAAAAGTTGATGGATCAATTTAGCGAAAATGAAGGCTATTAAAAAGTATTAAAAAGTATTAAAGGGCATTTTCCAAGGTATTACATTTTGTAGCTTGTTTTCAATAAGTATATAAATTGTCCAAAGAGGTTGTATTCTACAGTCTGCCTGAATGTAATCATTGCGTAGGTGTGTAGTGTGATTCTGTGTAGTTTATTTATGGCATCCCGTTGGATTTGACGTCATCTGAACAGGACATTGCACGCTCACTGCTTGATAGCGCGCGAAGGCCCGTTTACGCCGGTTGTTAAACAACATGGTTATGGGGAAATGCAAGTTTGCGTCCAAATGGTTGGAAGATAAGGAGGAAGGACAAACAATACTGTATAGTAGTGTTTCCGCCAGACCAGGGCTGAGAGGGCGTCCACCCCGAGAGCGGGGGGGGGTGTGACGTCACATCACGTGACTTGAATTTTGCATTGAGCCGTCCCTTATAGATACTATCTCTTTACGTATTAGTGATGGGAATTCCGGCTCTTTTTAGTGAGCCGGATCATTTGGCTCGGCTCACTAAGAAGAGCCGGCTCTTTCGGCTCCTAAACGGCTCTTCATGTTACCACAGTTTACCACGGAGCCTCAGTTTCGCCGCTGCGAGGCTCCGGCGCTCGCAGTTCACGCGCGTGCTCCACTAGCACCCCCCATCAAGGCTCGCCGGCAGTACACTTTCCGTCACAGGAACACGCTTTGCTGGTGGCGAAAATAATCCCACCAGACTCCTTTGCCCCTCCAACAGAGGGATGGCCTTGTCCTTTTTCCTTTTCGTCATTTCAAGCGATAAAAACTCGATCTTCTCTCGAATTATTTATTTTTACATCAAATGACGGCAAGACGCCCCCCTGGCGGAAACGCTGCTTTATAGTAAATGTGTCGCCAATTTAACCGGTTAAAACTCCAAGTGGCGATGAGGTCTTAAAGGGCCCATGTCATGGCCATTTCCACTGATAATAATTCCATTGTTGAGGTCTACTAGAATAGATTTATATTGTGCATTGTTCCAAACTCACATTGGTTTCTCATACAGCATCTCTGTAAACTACGTGTATTCACTGAATTTCACTCTCTGCCTTTAACGGCTCGTTGTAGCTCCAATAGCTCCAGCCCCCACCCTCCCTGTTACCCCATTCACACCAACGGTGTTTCAGGGCCGGTTCGGAGCTGGAGCTTGAAAAGCACCGGGTTTCCCTGTTCACCCCGCAGCGGAGCAGCCTCTAAGCTCCGGAATCCGGTTCGTTTCGAGCACCAAAAAGTTGTCCGTCTAGAAGCAAGAACCGCATACGTCACGCTTACGTCGGAGGGGGGCGAGATTAACCTGAGCTAACAGTTAAGGCGAGTACGGCAAATAAAAGTTGTAACCAGCAGTAGTGCTGAGCAAAGTGACTAGAACGCAACCACACACTTGTAAAAAAAAAACACGCTTTATAAAGTCAGGCAACACTAACCAGGCTTCGTGTGATTCTGTTTATTTGTACTTTACTTTGACCATCCGTTCTCTGTCATTGATCATTGTGGAGAGCAGGCAGACGTTTTGTTTGTTATTATAGCAGCTATCGGATGGAATCAATACATGGGCTGCACAGGTTGTCATGTCCGACTATCACAAGTAGAATCATAATGAAAAATACGCCGGTAAAAAGTGCCTGTAGAAAACGGCTTAGCAAGTAGTCAGTTTAGCTTTGGTTGCTATGCTAACATCACCCATGTTATACCAGAGAAACTTTCATAACAGCGTTGTGATGCCAAACAGCGTCAATTCAGACTGACACCAAACAGCGTCAATTCAGACTGACACACATTCACTTAAGGGGAACTGGGGATATGTATCAGCTGCTTGTGTGACAGTCAGACAGTGAATACTTTAGAGCCGTGTGAGCTAACCCGGAGCTAACGGGAGAATAAACTCCCGTGGAAGAGCAGCCAGCACTGCAGCGGTCGCTAAATGAAACACATTAATAAACAATGAACCACGGCACTCTGGAGAAAAGTATAAGGTTGGAGAAGTCGTTATTTAATTTAATCTGGCTTCGTATGATTAAAAGCAACACGATCATCGACCCAACGCAGTCCCCGGCCCGTTGTTGTGAGGTGAGCTCCGGCGTTGGGGAGAAACTCAGCGACGTAAACTGTGACGTCATGACGCAGCAGCGGCAGCACCAGTCGGGCTCTGAGCGGTGTGAAAAGAGCCGGCGCTAAACCGAAGAACCGGTTCTGAACCAGAAAAGCTCTAGCACGGAGCTAGAAGGGGAAAAGCCTTGGTGTGAAAGGGGTATGTGAGCACAGTGTGCTCTGATTGGTCGGGACGTTGTGAATCGCGCTGAGCTCCGTGGAGGTGTTGTTTCCTTGTTTAGCATACATAGCGAAACACAGCCAAACTCATCCTGAGCACACACAAAGTCACAGCCGAAGTAAAAACAATAAGTGTGGCTTGATATTGAGTAAGAAAAAGGTTGATAAACGCTGTGAGAATGGGTCTGCAGAGAGAATTTCGCCGCGATCCCAACTGTCTGTTATCAGCCTGCAGCCAGGGAGGAGAAATCAGCTGAGCTGCCTGCTCCCTGCACACAGATGTGTGTGTGAGGAAGTCCGTGGATTGGTCAATTTGGACCAATCAGCGGGGGCTTAACGTAACGGCTCCGCGGACGTAAGGTAACGGCTCCACGGATTGGTCCATTTCGTTCCGGGTACGGCATGATGTCATGCCGTACCCGGAACGTCACGCTTATACCCTGTGTATGATAGGAGACCGTCTCTGGTGTGAATGATGTTTATTCTTTGACTCTGCAGACAGGCGTATGAGAACTGCAAAGTGCTGGAAGCGAGGATCTGCTACAAACGTGGCCAAGCTGATGGCTCTGAACGCAGAGAGGTGAGCTTCAGCAACGTCTCACCACGCATTAATAATGCATATATCCATAGAGCCTTTCTGGGACTCAGAGTTGCTTTGGGGGGGGGGGGGGGGGGAGGCATCGTCATGTCAACAACATCTTGTTCTTAACACTGTGAGCCATGTTCATATCAACTCTCTGACACGTCTGCACAGCCCTCCACTTTAAATATAACTCACTGTAGTTTAATATATAACTCACTGTAGTTTAAAATATAACTCACTGTAGTTTAATATATAACTCACTGTAGTTTAAAATGTATAACTCATAACTCACTGTAGTTTAAAATATAACTCACTGTAGTTTAATATATAACTCACTGTAGTTTAAAATATAACTCACTGTAGTTTTCACTGTAGTTTAAAATATAACTCACTGTAGTTTTCACTGTAGTTTAAAATATAACTCACTGTAGTTTTCACTGTAGTTTAAAATATAACTCACTGTAGTTTAAATATAACTCACTGTATAACTCACTGTAGTTTAATATAACTCACTGTAGTTTAATATAACTCACTGTAGTTTAAATATAACTCACTGTAATATAACTCACTGTAGTTTAAATATAACTCACTGTATAACTCACTGTAGTTTAATATAACTCACTGTAGTTTAAATATAACTCACTGTATAACTCACTGCAGTTTAAATATAACTCACTGTAGTTTTCACTGTAGTTTAAAATATAACTCACTGTAGTTTTCACTGTAGTTTAAAATATAACTCACTGTAGTTTAATATATAACTCACTGTAGTTTAAAATATAACTCACTGTAGTTTAAATATATAACTCATAACTCACTGTAGTTTAAAATATAACTCACTGTAGTTTAAATATATAACTCACTGTAGTTTAAATATATAACTCATAACTCACTGTACTTTAAAATATAACTCACTGTAGTTTAAAATATAACTCACTGTAGTTTAAATATATAACTCATAACTCACTGTAGTTTAAAATATAACTCACTGTAGTTTTAATATATAACTCACTGTAGTTTAATATAACTCACTGTATTTAAAATATAACTCACTGTAGTTTAAATATATAACTCATAACTCACTGTAGTTTAATATATAACTCACTGTAGTTTAATATAACTCACTGTATAACTCACTGTAGTTTAATATAACTCACTGTAGTTTAATATAACTCACTGTATAACTCACTGTAGTTTAAATATATAACTCACTGTAGTTTAATATAACTCACTGTAGTTTAATATAACTCACTGTATAACTCACTGTAGTTTAAATATAACTCACTGTAGTTTAATATATAACTCACTGTAGTTTAATATAACTCACTGTAGTTTAAAATATAACTCACTGTAGTTTAAATATATAACTCATAACTCACTGTAGTTTAATATATAACTCACTGTAGTTTAATATAACTCACTGTAGTTTAATATAACTCACTGTATAACTCACTGTAGTTTAATATAACTCACTGTAGTTTAATATAACTCACTGTATAACTCACTGTAGTTTAAATATATAACTCACTGTAGTTTAATATAACTCACTGTAGTTTAATATAACTCACTGTATAACTCACTGTAGTTTAAATATAACTCACTGTAGTTTAATATATAACTCACTGTAGTTTAATATATAAATAGTTTAATATATAACTCACTGTAGTTTAATATAACTCACTGTAGTTTAAATATAACTCACTGTAATATAACTCACTGTAGTTTAAATATAACTCACTGTATAACTCACTGTAGTTTAATATAACTCACTGTAGTTTAAATATAACTCACTGTAGTTTAAATATAACTCACTGTATAACTCACTGTAGTTTAAATATAACTCACTGTAGTTTAAATATAACTCACTGTATAACTCACTGCAGTTTAAATATAACTCACTGTAGTTTAATATATAACTCACTGTAGTTTAATATAACTCACTGTAGTTTAAATATAACTCACTGTATAACTCACTGTAGTTTAAATATAACTCACTGTATAACTCACTGTAGTTTAAATATAACTCACTGTAGTTTAAATATAACTGACTGTATAACTCACTGTAGTTTAAATATAACTCACTGTAGTTAAATATATAACTGTAGTTTAATATAACTCACTGTAGTTTAATATATAACTCACTGTAGTTTAATATATAACTCACTGTAGTTTAATATAGCTCACTGTAGTTTAAATATAACTCGCTGTATAACTCACTGTAGTTTAATATAACTCACTGTAGTTTAATATAGCTCACTGTAGTTTAAATATAACTCACTGTATAACTCACTGTAGTTTAATATAACTCACTGTAGTTTAATATAACTCACTGTATAACTCACTGTAGTTTAATATAACTCACTGTATAACTCACTGTAGTTTAAAATATAACTCACTGTAGTTTAATATATAACTCACTGTAGTTTAATATAACTCACTGTATAACTCACTGTAGTTTAAATATATAACTCACTGTAGTTTAAATATATAACTCACTGTAGTTTAATATAACTCACTGTATAACTCACTGTAGTTTAAATATAACTCACTGTAGTTTAAATATAACTCACTGTAGTTTAATATATAACTCACTGTAGTTTAATATATAAGTAGTTTAATATATAACTCACTGTAGTTTAATATAACTCACTGTAGTTTAATATAACTCACTGTAGTTTAAATATAACTCACTGTAATATAACTCACTGTAGTTTAAATATAACTCACTGTATAACTCACTGTAGTTTAATATAACTCACTGTAGTTTAAATATAACTCACTGTAGTTTAATATATAACTCACTGTAGTTTAATATAACTCACTGTAGTTTAAATATAACTCACTGTATAACTCACTGTAGTTTAAATATAACTCACTGTATAACTCACTGAAGTTTAAATATAACTCACTGTAGTTTAATATATAACTCACTGCAGTTTAAATATAACTCACTGTAGTTTAATATATAACTCACTGTAGTTTAATATAACTCACTGTAGTTTAAATATAACTCACTGTATAACTCACTGTAATATAACTCACTGTAGTTTAAATATAACTCACTGTATAACTCACTGTAGTTTAAATATAACTCACTGCAGTTTAAATATAACTCACTGTAGTTTAATATATAACTCACTGTAGTTTAATATAACTCACTGTAGTTTAAATATAACTCACTGTATAACTCACTGTAGTTTAAATATAACTCACTGTAGTTTAAATATAACTCACTGTATAACTCACTGAAGTTTAAATATAACTCACTGTAGTTTAATATATAACTCACTGTAGTTTAATATAACTCACTGTAGTTTAAATATAACTCACTGTATAACTCACTGTAGTTTAAATATAACTCACTGTATAACTCACTGTAGTTTAAATGTAACTCACTGTAGTTTAAATATAACTGACTGTATAACTCACTGTAGTTTAAATATAACTCACTGTAGTTTAATATATAACTCACTGTAGTTTAATATATAACTCACTGTAGTTTAATATAACTCACTGTAGTTTAAATATAACTCACTGTAGTTTAATATATAACTCACTGTAGTTTAATATAACTCACTGTAGTTTAAATATAACTCACTGTATAACTCACTGTAGTTTAAATATAACTCACTGTATAACTCACTGTAGTTTAAATGTAACTCACTGTAGTTTAAATATAACTGACTGTATAACTCACTGTAGTTTAAATATAACTCACTGTAGTTTAATATAACTCACTGTAGTTTAATATATAACTCACCGTAGTTTAATATAACTCACTGTAGTTTAATATATAACTCACTGTAGTTTAATATAGCTCACTGTAGTTTAAATATAACTCGCTGTATAACTCACTGTAGTTTAATATAACTCACTGTAGTTTAATATAGCTCACTGTAGTTTAAATATAACTCACTGTAGTTTAATATAACTCACTGTATAACTCACTGTAGTTTAATATAACTCACTGTAGTTTAATATAACTCACTGTATAACTCACTGTAGTTTAAAATATAACTCACTGTAGTTTAATATATAACTCACTGTAGTTTAATATAACTCACTAGTTTAAAATATAACTCACTGTAGTTTAAATATATAACTCATAACTCACTGTAGTTTAATATATAACTCACTGTAGTTTAATATAACTCACTGTAGTTTAATATAACTCACTGTATAACTCACTGTAGTTTAAATATATAACTCGTAACTCACTGTAGTTTAATATAACTCACTGTAGTTTAATATAACTCACTGTATAACTCACTGTAGTTTACATATATAACTCACTGTAGTTTAATATAACTCACTGTAGTTTAATATAACTCACTGTATAACTCACTGTAGTTTAAATATAACTCACTGTAGTTTAATATAACTCACTGTAGTTTAATATATAACTCACTGTAGTTTAATATATAACTCACTGCAGTTTAAATATAACTCACTGTAGTTTAATATATAACTCACTGTAGTTTAATATAACTCACTGTAGTTTAAATATAACTCACTGTATAACTCACTGTAGTTTAAATATAACTCACTGTATAACTCACTGTAATATAACTCACTGTAGTTTAAATATAACTCACTGTATAACTCACTGTAGTTTAAATATAACTCACTGCAGTTTAAATATAACTCACTGTAGTTTAATATATAACTCACTGTAGTTTAATATAACTCACTGTAGTTTAAATATAACTCACTGTATAACTCACTGTAGTTTAAATATAACTCACTGTAGTTTAAATATAACTCACTGTATAACTCACTGAAGTTTAAATATAACTCACTGTAGTTTAATATAACTCACTGTATAACTCACTGTAGTTTAAATATAACTCACTGTAGTTTAATATAACTCACTGTAGTTTAATATATAACTCACTGTAGTTTAATATATAAGTAGTTTAATATATAACTCACTGTAGTTTAATATAACTCACTGTAGTTTAAATATAACTCACTGTAGTTTAAATATAACTCACTGTATAACTCACTGCAGTTTAATTAAATATATAACTCACTGTAGTTTAATATAACTCACTGTAGTTTAATATAACTCACTGTATAACTCACTGTAGTTTAAATATATAACTCACTGTAGTTTAATATAACTCACTGTATAACTCACTGTAGTTTAAATATAACTCACTGTAGTTTAATATAACTCACTGTAGTTTAATATATAACTCACTGTAGTTTAATATATAAGTAGTTTAATATATAACTCACTGTAGTTTAATATAACTCACTGTAGTTTAAATATAACTCACTGTAGTTTAAATATAACTCACTGTATAACTCACTGCAGTTTAATTAAATATATAACTCACTGTAGTTTAATATAACTCACTGTAGTTTAATATAACTGGGGGGGGGGTGAGAGAGAGGGTGAGATCCTTGCAGTATTGCGGAGGTGGTAGAATGAGGTTGTAATTTATACCTAAGTTAACGTTAAGAGAGGTTGTGGTTCCTTTAACCTCACGTTGTGCTTCCTTTAACCCCACGTTGTGTTTCCTTCATCCTCACGTTGTGTTTCCTTTAACCTCACGATGTGGTTCCTTTAACCTCACGATGTGTTCCTCAGGAAGAAGACGGAGCGCAGTAAGAAGTTCTTCACCGACCTGATGGTGAAGGAGCACGTTCCCACCATGATCAACCCCAAGCCCTGCGGACATCTGTGCTGCTGCGCCATCACCGGCTGCGAGGAGGTGACGCTAACGCTAACTCATCCACCCAAAGGAGCTTCATTATAAGAAACAGTGGTGTAATTTACGACCAATATGTGGTTTCCTGAGCGCTGATTATAACCTAACGTCACACTGTTCAATGATAACGAGTCCACTCAGCCTCCTTCTTTAGAAAGTATGCATTTCGTCGTAACTAGTTTATATTCTACGTCAGCTGGTTAACTCAGCCTCCATGTGTCCTTTAGGAGGAGGCGGTGAGTTACTACACCAAGACGGAGTCCAAGCTGAAGGAGGAGTACAGGAAGGAGAAGGAGATTGTCAACACCAAGCCTCTGGGCATGGCCTTCGTCACCTTCCAGAACGAGGCCATGACCGCAGTGTGAGACACAGCATGACCCCTGACCCCACCTTTACCTGACCCCTACCTGACCCCACCTTTACCTGACATTGAATCATAGTAGTAACTCAGAGTGTTGTTGTTTCTCAGTATTCTGAAGGACTTCAACGTGTAGTAACTCAGAGTGTTGTTGTGTCTCCTCAGTATTCTGAAGGACTTCAACGTGTAGTAACTCAAAGTGTTGTTGTGTCTCAGTATTCTGAAGGAGTTCAACGTGTAGTAACTCAGAGTGTTGTTGTGTCTCCTCAGTATTCTGAAGGACTTTAACGTGTAGTAACTCAGAGTGTTGTTGTGTCTCAGTATTCTGAAGGACTTCAACGTGTAGTAACTCAGAGTGTTGTTGTGTCTCAGTATTCTGAAGGACTTCAACGTGTAGTAACTCAGAGTGTTGTTGTGTCTCCTCAGTATTCTGAAGGACTTCAACGTGTAGTAACTCAGAGTGTTGTTGTGTCTCAGTATTCTGAAGGACTTTAACGTGTAGTAACTCAAAGTGTTGTTGTGTCTCAGTATTCTGAAGGACTTTAACGTGTAGTAACTCAGAGTGTTGTTGTGTCTCCTCAGTATTCTGAAGGACTTCAACGCGTGTCAGGTGCAGGGCTGTCGCTGTCGTCAGGAGCCAGGATCCTCTCAGTTCAGCGAGGCGCTCCACGTTCACAACTGGAGCGTTTCCTACGCACCCGACCCGCAGAACGTCCGCTGGTGAGTCCTCAAGCTCCACCCGGCTAAAACCCCACCGTGGACCAAAGCAAACACACTGTTCTCCTTTCAATGTATTTATATTGAACTTAACAGCCAGCTAAACTCTCCTCAGCATCATTCCTCCAAGGAACAGCCAGGTGTTGTATTTGGCAGGAATTTTAATGATAAGAAGTGTGAAACTGAAACAGTATAAAGTTCTCCATAAGTACCCATCAACAATGATATTTTCTTAACATTTACAGAATAAATGTACTTTTTTACAAGAGCAGGTTATTGCAGGTAAATATGTAATGTAACATTTTACAGCATTAAGTAACAAACTATAACACAGCAACAAGTGGTTCTTACAAAAAGAATAATTATCCTAACTATAACATTATATTACCACATATAATATCAAACACCTTAGGCTAAGATAGTAACTTGACTTACTGATAATGCCACGTTTAGGGCTAAGAAAGAAGGATGGATCCCATTACATGCTCATTGCATCTGTCTCCGTGTGTCAAAGGACTTCCTGAATCTTTAGAAAGTGGTCGTAGCCACAAAGGAAGTGCCATCCCTTTCAAAGTAAGATTTCAAAATAAAAGCTGCCTTCTCGCGGTTTGATACCTTCTTATTAGTGTTGCATGACCCCCCCCCTGACCCCCGGCTGATGGTTTGTTCCTGCAGGGAGCACCTGTCTCTGGGCGGGATCTCCTGGTGGATCCGCTGCTTCATCATCAACGTCATCCTCTTCCTGCTGCTCTTCTTCCTCACCACGCCCGCCATCATCATCTCCACCATGGACAAGTTCAACGTCACCAAGCCTGTCGAGTATCTCAACGTAAGACAGTCCCCCAGCTTTTACATTAAAGGTCTCCTATCATGCAAAATGCACTTTCGGATGTCTTTTCTACATCACCATGTGTCCCCGGTGTGTCAGGAGACTCTCAAAGTGATGTCTTCTCTACATCACCATGTGTCCCCGGTGTGTCAGGAGACTCACATAGTGATGTCTTCTCTACATCACCATGTGTCCCCGGTGTGTCAGGAGACTCACAAAGTGATGTCTTCTCTACGTCACCAATGTGTCCCCGGTGTGTCAGGAGACTCACATAGTGATGTCTTCGTCTACATCACCAAGTGTCCCCGGTGTGTCAGGAGACTCACATAGTGATTTCTTCTCTACATCACCATGTGTCCCCCGGTGTGTCAGGAGACTCACATAGTGATGTCTTTTCTACAATCACCAAGGTGTCCCCGGTGTGTCAGGAGACTCACATAGTGATGTCTTCTCTACATCAACCATGTGTCCCCCGGTGTGTCAGGAGACTCCACAAAGTGATGTCTTCTCTACGTCACCATGTGTCCCCGGCATGTGTAAGGAGACTCACAAAGTGATGTCTTCTCAAAATCACCATGTGTCCCCCGGTTGTCAGGAACTCACAAAGTGATGTTCTCGAGCGAGGCGCGAATGTGTCCCCGTGTGTCAGGAGACTCTCAAGAAGTGATGTCCTTCCTCTACATCACCATGTGTCCCCGGTGTGGTCCAGGAGACGCTCAAAGTGAATGTCTATCTCTACAGAATCACCATGTTGTCCCCGGTGTGTCAAGGAGACTCACAAAGTGATAGGTCTTCTCTAGCAGCACCATGTGTCCCCGGTGTGTTCAGGAAACTCGCACAAAGTGAGGTCTTCTCTACAGTCACCATGTGTCCCCGGTGTGTGCAGGGAGACTCACAAAGTGATGTCTCTTCTACATCACCGTGTGTCAGGAGACTCACAAAGTGATGTCTTTTCTACATCACCATGTGTCCCCGGTGTGTCCCCGGTGTGTCCCCGGTGTGTCAGGAGACTCTCAAAGTGTCAGGAAATAAACCCCTCTCTCTTTTCCTCCGTACCCACATCTCTAAAAACGGGAGAACAACGGAGCTGATCCAGATTTGCTGCGTCATGACCACATTACTAAAATGTGGGCGGGCTTTACACCCATGGGCCAATCAGAAACGTTGCTGTCGGAAACAATGAGACGTGCTCTGGAAGTAAAATGGTCTGTGTTTACATTAGCATGCTAACACTCAGAGCTAACCTGTACTGGAGAGAGTATGTGTGAAGAAGCAGGAAATCAAAAGGAACTCACCTTGTGGTAAACCTGAGAGAGAGAAAAGTTTGAGCTCCATACTGTTTCAGAGAGAATAGAGGGGGATGAGGCTAGAATTGGTGATCTGTTTGTATAATAGGAGACCTTTAAACCAGTAGAGCTTTGTGACGCTGTTTGGACAGGAAGTGATTCTTGTTTGTTGGTGTGTTTGGACAGAATCCCATCGTCACCCAGTTCTTCCCCACCCTGCTGCTGTGGGCCTTCTCCGCCCTGCTGCCCACCATCGTCTACTATTCCGCCTTCTTCGAGGCTCACTGGACCCGGTAACTAACCTAACTCCAGCACACAGAATATAAGTCCTATTTTCTCCTGAGTCTCACTTTAAGTTGCTGAGATGTCGTACAGAAAAATGTGTCAAAACTAGCAGTTTAGCCCTTTTCAGTGAATACCACATATTTGTTTAAAAAAAAAATGTGTCATATTTAAATGGTTATCAACAACTTCAATTTGGATTTTTTTTTTTCGCAGAACACTGACACTGATTTTACCTTGACTTTATATTGATTTAATCTTGATTTCTAACCCTGATTTAACTCTGATTTTACCTTGACTTTATATTGATTTAATCTTGATTTCTAACCCTGATTTAACTCTGATTTTACCTTGACTTTATATTGATTTAATCTTGATTTCTAACCCTGATTTAACTCTGATTTTACCTTGACTTTATTCTGATTTAATCCTGATTTCTAACCCTGACTTAACTCTGACTTTACCTTGACTTTATTCTGATTTAATCTTGATTTCTAACCCTGATTTCTCTCTGATTCGACCCTATCTCCCCCCCTGTGTGTCTGCAGGTCTGGAGAGAACAGGACGACGATGCACAAATGTTACACCTTCCTGATCTTCATGGTTCTGCTGCTGCCGTCTCTGGGACTCAGCAGGTAATAAATAATAATACAAATAACATATAATAATATCAGCTGTCCTCACTGAATCTTCTCTGTTTTCCAGCCTGGACGTTTTCTTCCGCTGGCTCTTTGATAAGAAGTTCCTAGATGATGCCAAAGTCAGATTTGAGTGAGTTGTGTTTTATTTTACCTGCGGTTACAAACGTCCTGATTTATACTCTTTAAAATAGTTCAGTGTGTTGTTAAAGGAAGAACAGAGCTTCCAGGCCTAAAGGGGGAGAATATGAATTAAGTTCTTGCATTTTAGGAATAAAGTAAAAATATGTCTTTTCCTTATACCTGTGACTATACATCTCTGTCGCTCTCTTCATGTATTTTATTCAGAAATGTGCATGAAGTGTTATGGTAGGAGGTCCTGCTCTAACGGAGGCGCTGTGCTCCCTTCAGGTGCGTCTTTCTGCCGGATAACGGAGCGTTCTTCGTCAACTACGTCATCGCCTCTGCGTTCATCGGTAACGCCATGGACCTGCTGAGGATCCCCGGCTTACTCATGTACATGATCCGCCTCTGCCTCGCCCGCTCCGCCGCCGACCGCCGCAACGTCAAGAGGGTGAGTAGTTCCTTTATAGCCCAACATTAGCCTCCTTTAGCTTAGCGGTGGTGACGTGAAGTCATGTGACCGTGCTGTAGTTCCTTTATAGCCCAACATTAGCCGCGATTAGCTTAGCGGTGGAGACGTGAAGTCATGTGACCGTGCTGTAGTTCCTTTATAGCCCAACATTAGCCGCGATTAGCTTAGCGGTGGTGACGTGAAGTCATGTGACCGTGCTGTAGTTCCTTTATAGCCCAACATTAGCCTCCTTTAGCTTAGCGGTGGTGATGTGAAGTCATGTGACCGTGCTGTAGTTCCTTTATAGCCCAACATTAGCCACCTTTAGCTTAGCGGTGGTGATGTGAAGTCATGTGACCGTGCTGTAGTTCCTTTATAGCCCAACATTAGCCACCTTTAGCTTAGCGGTGGAGACGTGAAGTCATGTGACCGTGCTGTAGTTCCTTTATAGCCCAACATTAGCCACCTTTAGCTTAGCGGTGGAGACGTGAAGTCATGTGACCGTGCTGTAGTTCCTTTACAGCCCAACATTAGCCACCTTTAGCTTAGCGGTGGAGACGTGAAGTCATGTGACCGTGCTGTAGTTCCTTTATAGCCCAACATTAGCTTTTACTTCAGAAATCATAAAGTGGTGTTAATATGTGGAGATTAGCCTGATGAACTAAACGTGTAAGAATCATAAACATTTGTTTGTCACAGAGATTATTTTCTGACATAATCCAAAATCACATGGAGGACTCCCATTGGACCAGCTGAGTTCTCAGTGTGTGATGAGCCTCATGGTGGCGCTCTTCTCTAAAACACTTTCTCGTCTCGCAGCATCAGGCCTACGAGTTTCAGTTCGGAGCGGCGTACGCCTGGATGATGAACGTCTTCACGGTGGTGATGGCCTACAGCATCACCTGCCCCATCATCGTGCCCTTCGGTAACTCACACACCAGACCAGTATCTGAACCTGCATCAGAACTGCAATATTAATAGATAACGTTTAACCAGGACTGTTGGGAAAATAGTGAATGTCCTTTTCCAACATGAGTAACATGATAACAAAGGCATCCCAACTGTAGCTGTGTGCATGACAGGATGTGTGATTACCTAGAAGAGCATCAGGACTGTTTGAGGCATATGATAGCTATGTGATTAACATGATGATTCAGCCTCTATGGAGATTTTTTATAAAAAGTGAGATTTTGAGGAAAAATTCAACATTTTTACATTTTTATAAAAAGTCAGAATTTTTGAGATTTTGAGGAAAAAGTCAGAATTTTTGAGATTTTGAGGAAAAAGTCAGAATTTTTGAGATTTTGAGAAAAATACAGAATTTTGAGATTTTGAGAAAAAGTATTTTAGAAAAAGTCAACATTTTTAGAAAAAGTGAGAAGTTTTGAGATTTTGAGAAAAAAACAGAATTTTGAGATTTTGAGAAAAAGTCCGAATTTTTAGATTATCAGAAAAAGTCAGAACCGGTATTCCTCCATCTTGTGACTGTGTAACTCCCTCTCTTGGATATCAGCATGTGAAGGACACTGTTCAGGAACTAGTTGATGCTCTGTATGTGATGACTCCTTCCATTCTGGAGAGGATCACAAATACATGGATCCTGAGATTGAAGATCAAGACGGGGACCAGGGAAATCTTTCTAACCTGGACTCTGGAAGTAGATGTGGATTTATAGTCGTATTCGTAAACTAACCCTCTGATATAACTTCCTGGTACACAAGGCTTTAGTCGGTGTTGTAGATAAGATCTTTATTGATCCCAATGTGGGAAATGTTTGCGTTGCAGCAGCATAAAAAGATGCTGATGGGATTGTGATCTAACTACCTCATTCCTCACCTGTGTGACTTCAGGTCTGATGTACATGCTGCTGAAACACCTGGTGGACAGGTACAACATGTACTACGCCTACCTGCCCTCCAAACTGGACAAGAAAATCCACTCTGCAGCCGTCACTCAGGTGGTGGCCGCCCCCATCCTCTGCCTCTTCTGGCTGCTCTTCTTCTCCACCGTGCGTACAGGTGAGCCCCGCCCCCTGCTGATCACCTGTAACACTCTGTCTGTAGGGTTAACACTCTATCTGTAGGGTTAACTCTCTTTGTGAGCGCGCTCAAGCCAGTTACTGTGGGGTGAGGTGAGGCACAGATGAGCTCTGCCTCACCTCAGAATGCGTCACCAGCCAGTCACCCCGTGTGAGGCAGACCACATCATGTAGACAGCCAGTCACCCCGTGTGAGGCAGACCACATCATGTAGACAGCCAGTCGCCCCGTGTGAGGCAGACCCACATCATGTAGACAGCCAGTCGCCCCGTGTGAGGCAGACCACATCATGTAGACAGCCAGTCGCCCTGTGTGAGGCAGACCACATCATGTAGACAGCCAGTCACCCCGTGTGAGGCAGACCACATCATGTAGACAGCCAGTCACCCCGTGTGAGGCAGACCACATCATGTAGACAGCCAGTCGCCCCGTGTGAGGCAGACCACATCATGTAGACAGCCAGTCGCCCCGTGTGAGGCAGACCCACATCATGTAGACAGCCAGTCGCCCCGTGTGAGGCAGACCCACATCATGTAGACAGCCAGTCGCCCCGTGTGAGGCAGACCACATCATGTAGACAGCCAGTCGCCCCGTGTGAGGCAGACCACATCATGTAGACAGCCAGTCGCCCCGTGTGAGGCAGACCCACATCATGTAGACAGCCCATCGCCCCGTGTGAGGCAGACCACATCATGTAGACAGCCAGTCGCCCCGTGTGAGGCAGACCACATCATGTAGACAGCCAGTCGCCCCGTGTGAGGCAGACCACATCATGTAGACAGCCAGTCGCCCCGTGTGAGGCGACCACATCATGTAGACAGCCAGTCGCCCCGTGTGAGGCAGACCACATCATGTAGACAGCCAGTCGCCCCGTGTGAGGCAGACCACATCATGTAGACAGCCAGTCGCCCCGTGTGAGGCAGACCACATCATGTAGACAGCCAGTCGCCCCGTGTGAGGCAGACCACATCATGTAGGACAGCCAGTCGCCCCGTGTGAGGCAGACCACATCATGTAGACAGCCAGTCGCCCCGTGTGAGGCAGACCACATCATGTAGACAGCCAGTCGCCCCGTGTGAGGCAGACCACATCATGTAGACAGCCAGTCGCCCCGTGTGAGGCAACAATGTAGACAGCAGTCGCAGTGTGAGGGACCACATCAGTAGACAGCCGTCGCCCCGGTGAGGCAGACCACATCATGTAGACAGCCAGTCGCCCCGTGTGAGGCAGACCACATCATGTAGACAGCCAGTCGCCCCGTGTGAGGCAGACCACATCATGTAGACAGCCAGTCGCCCCGTGTGAGGCAGACCACATCATGTAGACAGCCAGTCGCCCCGTGTGAGGCAGACCACATCATGTAGACAGCCAGTCGCCCCGTGTGAGGCAGACCACATCATGTAGACAGCCAGTCGCCCCGTGTGAGGCAGACCACATCATGTAGACAGCCAGTCGCCCCGTGTGAGGCAGACCACATCATGTAGACAGCCAGTCACCCCGTGTGAGGCAGACCACATCATGTAGACAGCCAGTCACCCCGTGTGAGGCAGGCCACATCATGTAGACAGCCAGTCACCCCGTGTGAGGCAGGCCACTTAACAGGCCAGGCCATCGGGAAACCCCCCGGTCCTCCCGATGGCCAGTCCGGGACTGGCTACAGGAGGCGTAGAGCGAGGGATCATTGTCCACAAGTTAATCGATCGCAGATGGCGTCGTGGTCTCGGACGAATAAAAAAAAATAGAAAAGATTATAATTTTTTTTTAAATAAATTTAAAAAAAACTAAATGGGTCGTGAAATATACCTGGGTGGCCCGCCCAAGTATAGTCTATGTGTGGGAAACCCTGGGCCTCTCCTGATGTGGATGCTAACACACAGTGAAGTTCCTCTCTTGGTGTGGATGCTAACACACAGTGAAGTTCCTCTCTTGGTGTGGATGCTAACACACAGAGAAGTTCCTCTCTTGGTGTGGATGCTAACACACAGTGAAGTTCCTCTCTTGGTGTGGATGCTAACACACAGTGAAGTTCCTCTCCTGGTGTGGATGCTAACACACAGTGAAGTTCCTCTCTTGGTGTGGATGCTAACACACAGTGAAGTTCCTCTCCTGATGTGGATGCTAACACACAGAGAAGTTCCTCTCCTGGTGTGGATGCTAACACACACAGAAGTTCCTCTCTTGATGTGGATGCTAACACACAGTGAAGTTCCTCTCTTGGTGTGGATGCTAACACACAGTGAAGTTCCTCTCTTGGTGTGGATGCTAACACACAGTGAAGTTCCTCTCTTGGTGTGGATGCTAACACACAGTGAAGTTCCTCTCCTGGTGTGGATGCTAACACACAGTGAAGTTCCTCTCTTGGTGTGGATGCTAACACACAGTGAAGTTCCTCTCCTGATGTGGATGCTAACACACAGTGAAGTTCCTCTCTTGGTGTGGATGCTAACACACAGAGAAGTTCCTCTCCTGGTGTGGATGCTAACACACAGTGAAGTTCCTCTCTTGGTGTGGATGCTAACACACAGTGAAGTTCCTCTCTTGGTGTGGATGCTAACACACAGTGAAGTTCCTCTCCTGATGTGGATGCTAACACACAGAGAAGTTCCTCTCCTGGTGTGGATGCTAACACATAGTGAAGTTCCTCTCCTGGTGTGGATGCTAACACACAGTGAAGTTCCTCTCTTGGTGTGGATGCTAACACACAGTGAAGTTCCTCTCTTGGTGTGGATGCTAACACACAGAGAAGTTCCTCTCTGGTGTGGATGCTAACACACAGTGAAGTTCCTCTCCTGGTGTGGATGCTAACACACAGAGAAGTTCCTCTCCTGGTGTGGATGCTAACACACAGTGAAGTTCCTCTCTTGGTGTGGATGCTAACACACAGAGAAGTTCCTCTCTTGGTGTGGATGCTAACACACAGTGAAGTTCCTCTCTTGGTGTGGATGCTAACACACAGTGAAGTTCCTCTCCTGATGTGGATGCTAACACACAGAGAAGTTCCTCTCCTGGTGTGGATGCTAACACACAGTGAAGTTCCTCTCTTGGTGTGGATGCTAACACACAGAGAAGTTCCTCTCCTGGTGTGGATGCTAACACACAGAGAAGTTCCTCTCTTGGTGTGGATGCTAACACACAGTGAAGTTCCTCTCTTGGTGTGGATGCTAACACACAGAGAAGTTCCTCTCCTGGTGTGGATGCTAACACACAGAGAAGTTCCTCTCTTGGTGTGGATGCTAACACACAGAGAAGTTCCTCTCCTGGTGTGGATGCTAACACACAGAGAAGTTCCTCTCTTGGTGTGGATGCTAACACACAGAGAAGTTCCTCTCCTGGTGTGGATGCTAACACACAGAGAAGTTCCTCTCTTGGTGTGGATGCTAACACACAGTGAAGTTCCTCTCTTGGTGTGGATGCTAACACACAGAGAAGTTCCTCTCCTGGTGTGGATGCTAACACACAGAGAAGTTCCTCTCTTGGTGTGGATGCTAACACACAGAGAAGTTCCTCTCCTGGTGTGGATGCTAACACACAGTGAAGTTCCTCTCCTGATGTGGATGCTAACACACAGTGAAGTTCCTCTCTTGGTGTGGATGCTAACACACAGTGAAGTTCCTCTCTTGGTGTGGATGCTAACACACAGAGAAGTTCCTCTCCTGGTGTGGATGCTAACACACAGTGAAGTTCCTCTCTTGGTGTGGATGCTAACACACAGAGAAGTTCCTCTCTTGGTGTGGATGCTAACACACAGAGAAGTTCCTCTCTTGGTGTGGATGCTAACACACAGAGAAGTTCCTCTCCTGATGTGGATGCTAACACACAGTGAAGTTCCTCTCTTGGTGTGGATGCTAACACACAGAGAAGTTCCTCTCTTGGTGTGGATGCTAACACACAGAGAAGTTCCTCTCTTGGTGTGGATGCTAACACACAGAGAAGTTCCTCTCCTGATGTGGATGCTAACACACAGAGAAGTTCCTCTCTTGGTGTGGATGCTAACACACAGAGAAGTTCCTCTCCTGATGTGGATGCTAACACACAGTGAAGTTCCTCTCTTGGTGTGGATGCTAACACACAGAGAAGTTCCTCTCTTGGTGTGGATGCTAACACACAGAGAAGTTCCTCTCCTGATGTGGATGCTAACACACACAGAAGTTCCTCTCTTGGTGTGGATGCTAACACACAGTGAAGTTCCTCTCTTGGTGTGGATGCTAACACACAGAGAAGTTCCTCTCCTGGTGTGGATGCTAACACACAGAGAAGTTCCTCTCCTGGTGTGGATGCTAACACACAGAGAAGTTCCTCTCTTGGTGTGGATGCTAACACACAGTGAAGTTCCTCTCCTGGTGTGGATGCTAACACACAGTGAAGTTCCTCTCTTGGTGTGGATGCTAACACACAGAGAAGTTCCTCTCTTGGTGTGGATGCTAACACACAGAGAAGTTCCTCTCCTGGTGTGGATGCTAACACACAGTGAAGTTCCTCTCCTGGTGTGGATGCTAACACACAGAGAAGTTCCTCTCTTGGTGTGGATGCTAACACACAGAGAAGTTCCTCTCTTGGTGTGGATGCTAACACACAGTGAAGTTCCTCTCCTGGTGTGGATGCTAACACACAGAGAAGTTCCTCTCCTGGTGTGGATGCTAACACACAGAGAAGTTCCTCTCTTGGTGTGGATGCTAACACACAGAGAAGTTCCTCTCTTGGTGTGGATGCTAACACACAGAGAAGTTCCTCTCTTGGTGTGGATGCTAACACACAGAGAAGTTCCTCTCCTGGTGTGGATGCTAACACACAGTGAAGTTCCTCTCTTGATGTGGATGCTAACACACAGTGAAGTTCCTCTCTTGGTGTGGGTGCTAACACACAGAGAAGTTCCTCTCCTGGTGTGGATGCTAACACACAGTGAAGTTCCTCTCTTGATGTGGATGCTAACACACAGAGAAGTTCCTCTCTTGGTGTGGATGCTAACACACAGAGAAGTTCCTCTCTTGGTGTGGATGCTAACACACAGAGAAGTTCCTCTCTTGGTGTGGATGCTAACACACTTGTACGCTGGTTAAAAAATCCACCAACATGTAATTGTTGTTGAATGCTAAATCATGCTTGCTGCTAATATGCCCTCAGGTTTCGAGACGCCCACCTCCATGTTCACTCTGGTGGTGCTGATCGTCACCATCGTGGTCTGTCTGTCTCACGTCTGCTTCGGACACTTCAAGTACCTCAGCGCTCACAACTACAAGGTACTGCAGGGTTTGATCAATCTGGAAAACATGAGTGTTGCTTTCCAGAGTCTCACTGTGTGCCTCTGTCTCAGACCGACACTAAGGAGAACGATGTGGACGTCGTGGAGAACGGACGTCCAGCTCGCCCCTCGTCCTCGCCCACCATCAAAGCTCAGGTGAGTGGATCCATGACTTAAACACTTTATCCAGGATCCAAATCAAATCAAGTTTTATTTATAAAGCACATTTAAAAGCGATTTTTGGTCGAGCCAAAGTGCTGTACATGTAATAAAAACACATTACTACAATCACAATAAACGACAATAAATTACAACAGAAATATAAAAAACACAGGGAAAAGTCAGGAGTCGTGCTCCGCTCTGACTAGAAGGCCAGAGAGAAGAAGTGTAGATTTAAAACCCCCTAGGGTCTGGGCCGACCTCACATGGAGGGGCAGAGTGTTCCAGAGCCTCGGGCCAGCTGCTGCGAAGGCTCGGTGCCCTCGGGTTTTGAGCCTGGTCTTGGGCACTATCAGCAGCAGCTGGTCAGCAGACCTTAAAGCTCTGGTAGCGATCCAGGATCAAACATGAGTGGATCTGACTTTAATTACATTTGACTCGAGTGTTTCGTCAACTTAATGTGTTGCTTAAAATAATACTTCTGCATACAGTATGTGACACTGAGTGTTGCACGGCCAGATACGGCTCAGCTGACTCAGATAAGGAAATATATGATACATTATGATGTGATATGATATGAATGATAATGGGACACATCGACGTCTGCACTCACAGTGCCGCGGACTGTACGTAATGTTACTCTGATCCGGTTACTTATGTTGTGGCAGATATTTAAGTAAGCTTTCTTAACGCTAATGTTATAATAGTCAGATTGCTCTGAAGATGGGAGGAGGGGATATTCTATTAATGTTCACGTTCACACAGTCAGGTGATTTTTGCCGGCCGTCTTTCCTGCAACGGCAGTTTTTCTGTATTTCCTCTATCCTGTAATATGACTTGATCGCTTTAAACTCTGCACACTGAGCTCTGATTGGTCAGCAGGCGGTGAGCTCTGATTGGTCAGCAGGCGGTGCTTTCACTGAGTTGATCTCTTAGCCTACAACCTAACCTGCTCCGGAGCAGGTTTGCCGCTCAGCATGAGTTACCATGGAGATCTAGCCCGCTAAAAAGAGAACCAGCGTCGTAGGACCGGAAAGCCCGAGCTTTCCCTGAAGTTAGCTAAGAGAACATCCTGCTTCGTAGTGCAGGCCTCTCTGTTGTTGTGCTGTTGTTGTGTTCCTCCTCTCTAACCTGTTGTGTTGTTGTTGTTGTGTTCCTCCTCTCTAACCTGTTGTTGTTGTTGTTGTTGTTGTGCAGCGGCAGCAGCAGACGCAGCAGCAGATCCACATGCAGCAGCAGATGTACATCGCTCAGGTTCTGCAGGAGGGCGGCAGCAACACGGAGGAGGACCGAGGCTCGGCGCAGGACGAGGACTTGTTGAACGGCGGGAACAGCATCAACGAGGCGGATTTTCAGTCAGGGGAGGACAGTCTGATAGCAAACGAGGTCCACCAGTAGCTGGGGGTGGAGCCAGGGGGAGGGGGCGGAGCTAAACAACACAACAGTTAGATAACTACACACATAGACACACTTACAGATAGACTGACACGGTTAGCTCCACCCCCTCCCAGCTCGAAGACTTGACCCTGACCTGGAAACCTGCAGGACCCGGCTCCACTGGAAACCTGCAGGACCCGGCTCTCCACTGGAAACCTGCAGGACCCGGCTCTCCACTGGAAACCTGCAGGACCCGGCTCTCCACTGGAAACCTGCAGGACCCGGCTCTCCACTGGAAACCTGCAGGACCCGGCTCTCCACTGGAAACCTGCAGGACCCGGCTCCCACAGGAACTCACTGTACATAACCACCAAGCCAAAACTTTTGAGTTTTTACTTTAGTTCTCGGAGTGGGGGGCGGGGTTTAACAATTCGTGCCTGGGCTGGATTTTGTTCGTTCGCACTTGTGTCTTGACTCCTGATCCCACCGCAGGTTACCGGTTCGATGCTGAGGCTGTCTCCCCCCCCCCCCCCCCGGTGGACGCTTCCAGAACAACGCCCCGTTACACCGCCCTCCTCTACATCGGAGTGCTCAATAAGTCGCCAACCGCCAGCTCTCGCAGTGGTAGAAGCTTACGCAGACGCTGTCTCCCTCTCCCTCTAACCCACACCCCTCTCCCTCTAACCCACACCCCTCTCCCTCTAACCCACACCCCTCTCCCTCTAGCCCACACCCCTCTCCCTAACCCACACCCCTCTCCCCTAACCCACACCCCTCTCCCTCTAACCCACACCCTCTCTCTCTAGCCCACTCCCCTCTCCCTAACCCACACCCCTCTCCCTAACCCACACCCCTCTCCCTCTAACCCACACCCCTCTCCCTAACCCACACCCCCTCCCTCTAACCCACACCCCTCTCCCTCTAACCCTAACCCACACCCTATCACTCTACCCACACCCCTCTTCCCCTCTAAACCCACACCCTCTCCCTCTAAACCACAACCCTCGCCCTCACCCACCCCCCCTCTCCCTCTAACCCACACCCCTCTCCCTAACCCACACCCCTCTCCCTCTAACCCCCCCCCCTCTCCCTCTAACCCACACCCCTCTCCCTCTAACCCCACACCCCTCTCCCTCTAACCCACTCCCCTCTTGGCTTCTCTGACCTGCCAAGCTTTCACTGCATGTTGTTCAAAGTGCAGTCTGGATCACCCCCCCCCCCCCCCCCCCAGCACATCCTCCCCCCTGCCGGGTCAGAGTTTCCAGCTTCACCTCTGGGTGGACTGCTCCTCGACCGCCTGATGGAGCGCCTGATATAAAATGTGCACTTCAGAAAATGTCATAAAACCATATTTGGCGATAATGCAACCAGTTTGAAACCTTCTTGATGCAGAATGTCAGACAGGAAGCAGTGTTACCAATGGTTTCTGAGCGCCACATAAATGTCATGTATTGTTATTATTATCTCTATTTGACGGTCCTTTAGATTTTGGATGGGCGGGTTATAGCCTTTTGAACGGGACTTTGAGGATACAGCCTCCAGTTTCCCTTTGCAAACATGAAGTCAGAGGTGTGTGTTTTCAGTCTGGAATGTTCTGGACAGCGAGGACGCCACTTCATCAGAACCATCTTAGTCGCCTCAGACCAAAACAAAGTGCACATTTTAAACGTTTCCTGACGTTCTGACAGCATTGGGTGCTCCCCCTCCGAACCACTGGACTCAACACCTTTCTCTTCTGGTCCGGACCACCGTGACCCATTCCCACTGACACAGGGAACGGGGGGGGGGGAGGGTCCTTGTGGGTTTAGCAATCAATACTCTTTTCATCAGCGGGGAGAACTTTGTGAAGCCGAGCTCGTGGAGACGCAGAAGGTGTGTGTGTGTGTGTGTGTGTGTGTGTGTGTGTGTGTGTGTGTGTGTGTGTGTGTGTGTGTGTGTGTGTGTGTGTGTGTGTGTGTGTGTGTGTGTGTGTGTGTGTGTGTGTGTGTGTGTGTGTGTGTGTGTGTGTGTGTGTGTGTGTGTGTGTGTGTGTGTGTGTGTGTGTGTGTGTGTGTGTGTGTGTGTGTGTGTGTGTGTGTGTGTGTGTGTGTGTGTACATGTAGAGTGTGTACATGTAGAGTGTGTACATGTAGAGTGTGTGTGTGTACATGTAGAGTGTGTGTGTGTGTGTGTACATGCAGTGTGTGTGTGTGTGTACATGTAGAGAGTGTGTGTGTACATGCAGAGTGTGTGTGGACATAGAGCTGGACTATGAAGGCTGCAGGACGTGGGGGGGGGTCTCTGCACGCCGGAGAATACGCAGCGTTTGTGTCCCGAGGTTTCTCTCCAGCTCCTCTTCACCTCCAGCTCCTCTTCACCTCCAGCTCCTCTTCACCTCCAGCTCCTCTTCACCTCCAGCTCCTCTTCACCTCCAGCTCCTCTTCACCTCCAGGACGTGATTGTATGAAAGTGCGGCTGACGGAGAGATGGAAGTGTGTCTGAGCTCCAGCAGCTCTCAGCCCACGGGAACACCACATGTGTTTCTATGTTTCCCTGACAACATAACATTGCTTTTAAAATAACGTCTTGTTATTTAGTTATAATCAAACATTTTCCAACAGCATTCAGACGTATAAGAAAACGTCTAAACATGTTTTAGATTATTCAGCTTTTTTGACTTTTGTAATTCTTCTCAGTTTGAACTAAATCATTGAGTTCATCAACATTGTATTCTTAACTTTCTTCTCGACTTTTTTGAGTGAAAACGGATGTTCTTCTTCCTCCTGTCCTAACAGTCTCCTGCACATATTTTTCATGACGCGTTTTCGTTATTTAAAGACGTCAGAACCACCTTAACTATATTAATGATAGGCTGAGAGCTGCTGCGTTCACTGACGCCTCGGAGTCGTGGGAACTGAAGGCGCTTGTGTGATATTTTTGTAACCTGCCGACTGGAGTATTTGATACTGAAAGTGTATTAAAGAAACGTCGATAGCTGTGACGATGCTGTTGTAACCTGTAACTAAAGTTTTTAATATTCAGCCGCTGCTTTTTGCTTTTCTTAGTTTTTTAAATTGTTGCTGAAGTTGTGAAAAGACGAATGTGAAGCGAAGACAGACGAGTGTGAAACAAAACGCCGGCTGCAGAAACTAAACAGCGTGTAAAATAACAATGTGTGTAAATAGCCATCGAACACATCTCACCGACTCCCAGCTGACATCCATTAACTTATTGCTGTGACCATATTTATTTCTACTCTCCAGGTTGTTTGTACAGTGGAGCATTTGTTCTATTTATGTTACTTGATCAATAAAATTGGCTTTCATCTTTCCCGTGGTTCTTCTGTGTGTCGATGGACTGTGACCTCTTCAATCTGTGCTTTAAAAGACCAACATATTTATTGAAATGCTAAAAAAAATCAATCAATTTAGAATTGTTTTGAAAATGTCCCGAAGAAATTAGAACAGAAATGGGATTTAAAAAAAAATTAATTAATCCAATATTTATTTAATGTAAAAAATCTTTAATCTTTAAAACGGCCAAAATGTTTTATCACTGACTGACATTTAATTTAGAATCTTGATATTTAGCAAAAAAACATTTTAATTGAAAAACAAAAACTTTTAAAAGTCACGTTTATGCTGTTTTATTTATACTGGGATTCAGGTAAGAGGGTGGGCGGGGCTTACCGGGTGGGCGGGGCTTACCGTGCTGCTATCGCCTAAAATACAAGATGACGTCACGTATGAACGGCCTTCACATCCTCTGAGAGGCTTTCTGAGTCTGAGGGAGACATGCAGTCTGTATTAAAGCATTTTGCAGAATAGGGGACCTTCAGGGTCGTCTCCTTTCTTATACTCTTATTTTATATAATGTTGCACCAGCACAAAATACATTTCGTAGTGCCTTAAAGAAAACTTAAGATGCCGCTGAAACATCAGAGGTTTTTTCCCATAGACCTCGGGTTCAGAGGGGGTCATGCTCCCCTGAAAAAATGTACTCAGTTTGCTTTGATCCAGACGATCTCACTGCAGCGTACCCTCTTTACTCTGTGCTTTCAAACACTTGAAAAGCCTGTCTTTTTATTGAAAAATGCCCAAAATTGTTATTGAAATGCAAAGAAAAATCAATCTCTTCAATCCATTTTCAAACAGCCAAAATGTTTGATTGACAGGCTGACATTAGTTTAGAATTTTGATATTTAGACATTTTAATTGAAAAACAAAAAAAGACCTTTTAAGGGTCATTTCATTTCTTATTTGTTATTTTATATGTTGCACCGACAGGAACACAGAAATCACAGTTCGTAGCGCTTCAGTTAACAATGACTAAACATTAGATGTATTTAACAGAAAGACCCCAGGAGTTCAGATGGGGTCTTTTTCCACTCAAATAAATACTCATGATTTAGTTTGGATCCAGACGATCTCCTCCGAGGGGAAGGACACTTTTATTTCTGCATGGAAAACTAACCAGAAGAATAAAAAACCCAAACCATTACTGGATGAGCTCTTTGATATGTTTTAATGTTGAGATATCGAGCGTTTGAATAACGATGCAGAAAAAAGCTGATTGTTTAAAATATGGCAGAATAATGAAAAAACTGAAACATGAGGAGAAATAAGAAACTAGTTGAAATGTAGAAAAATAAAAACACTGAGGAGACTATGGGGGGTCTGGGACTTCTTATTGGTTCACGTGAACATCCAGAGGACTCTCAATAAATGTAGACCCTGACCCAGACTGAAACTGGAGAATGAAACCACAGTTCAGGAGTTTCAGGTTCTTTAGTTCCAGTCAAACAACACGGAGCTTTCACTGAGAAATAAAAACACTTTGAACGTTTGGTCACTTTTCATCGGGATTTCATGATAACAGGAGGGGGTTCACACCGGCGTCTCCACCTTCTCCTGGACTTCCTCCTCAGTCTGGACCTCCTCCTCAGTCTGGACCTCCTCCTCAGTCTGGACCTCCTCCTCAGTCTGGACCTCCTTTTCGATCTGGACTTCCACTTCCTCCTCAGCCTGGACCTCCTCCTGGGTCTGGACCTCCTCCATTATCTGGACCTCCTTTTCCATCAGGACTTCCACCTCCTCATCAGTCTGGACCTCCTCTGTTATCTGAACCTCCTCCTTCTGGACCTCCTTTTCGAACTGGACTTCCAGCTCCTCTGCTATCTGGACCACCTCCTCCTCGGTTTGGACCTCCTCCTCCACCTGCTGAAGAAATACAAGAACCCACATTTAGCCGAAAACCCCTTTTACCTTTTCCAAGTCTCTGCAAAATAAAATAAAACTTTTCTAACACTAAGAAAGTGGATCAGTCCAGTTCTGAAGTCTTTACACTGGTTCCTCACTAACACTAAGAAAGTGGATCAGTCCAGTTCTGAAGTCTTTACACTGGTTCCTCACTGACACTAAGAAAGTGGATCAGTCCAGTTCTGAAGTCTTTACACTGGTTCCTCACTGACACTAAGAAAGTGGATCAGTCCTGTTCTGAAGTCTTTACACTGGTTCCTCACTGACACTAAGAAAGTGGATCAGTCCAGTTCTGAAGTCTTTACACTGGCTTCCTGTCTGTCAAAGAACTGATTTCAAAATACTGTTGCTGGTTTATAAAGCTTTGAATGGTTCAAATGGTTTAAGGTTTAGTTTTTAGTGGTTTATGGCACAAACAAAACAAAACAGATAACAAATGACAAACAGAGCAGGAAGAGGCAAAACCCACTTAAATAATGTTAAAACCCTCTCAACCCTTAAAGCTGGTCTTCACCTGAGAGGTGGCGTTCTGCAGCGGAGCCGCCTCCACATGCTGCTGCAGTGACATCACTTCCTGTCGAGCCTGGAAACAATACAGGTGACAGTTAGACCTCACTTCCTGTTGCCGGGCAGGCTCCAGGTGTTAGTAAAGGTAATGATATATTAGGTTATGAGGTTCCAGGTGTTGAAGGTGTTCCAGGTGTTGAAGGTGTTCCAGGTGTTGGAGGTGTTCCAGGTGTTGAAGGTGCTCCAGGTGTTGAAGGTGCTCCAGGTGTTGGAGGTGTTCCAGGTGTTGAAGGTGTTCCAGGTGTTGAAGGTGGTCCAGGTGTTGAAGGTGTTCCAGGTGTTAGTGAAGGTGTTCCAGGTGTTGAAGGTGTTCCAGGTGTTGAAGGTGTTCCAGGTGTTGAAGGTGTTCCAGGTGTTGAAGGTGGTCCAGGTGTTGAAGGTGTTCCAGGTGTTAGTGAAGGTGTTCCAGGTGTTGAAGGTGTTCCAGGTGTTGAAGGTGTTCCAGGTGTTAGTGAAGGTGTTCCAGGTGTTGGAGGTGTTCCAGGTGTTGAAGGTGTTCCAGGTGTTGGAGGTGTTCCAGGTGTTGAAGGTGTTCCAGGTGTTGAAGGTGTTCCAGGTGTTGGAGGTGTTCCAGGTGTTGGAGGTGTTCCAGGTGTTGGAGGTGTTCCAGGTGTTGGAGGTGTTCCAGGTGTTGGAGGTGTTCCAGGTGTTGGAGGTGTTCCAGGTGTTGGAGGTGTTCCAGGTGTTGAAGGTGCTCCAGGTGTTGAAGGTGGTCCAGGTGTTGAAGGTGGTCCAGGTGTTAGTGAAGGTGCTCCAGGTGTTGAAGGTGGTCCAGGTGTTAGTGAAGGTGCTCCAGGTGTTGAAGGTGGTCCAGGTGTTAGTGAAGGTGTTCCAGGTGTTGAAGGTGTTCCAGGTGTTAGTGAAGGTGTTCCAGGTGTTGGAGGTGTTCCAGGTGTTAGTGAAGGTGTTCCAGGTGTTAGTGAAGGTGTTCCAGGTGTTGGAGGTGTTCCAGGTGTTAGTGAAGGTGTTCCAGGTGTTAGTGAAGGTGTTCCAGGTGTTAGTGAAGGTGTTCCAGGTGTTGGAGGTGTTCCAGGTGTTGGAGGTGTTCCAGGTGTTGGAGGTGTTCCAGGTGTTGAAGGTGCTCCAGGTGTTGAAGGTGGTCCAGGTGTTAGTAAAGGTAATGATATATTAGGTAATGAGGTTCCAGGTGTTTCTAACCTGCTGCAGCTCCAGGTCCAGCTGTTGTCTCTGAAGCTGCTCCACCTGCAGCCGAGAGGAGAGCTGCTGCACCTGAGCCTGCACCTGGGGGGGAACACCAGAGGTTAATACACGTGGGGGGGGGCAACAGAGGTTAACACACCTGAGGTTAATATAACATCATTATAAACACCCTTCAATAATATAAAGTATTCTCCTAACCTCAGAGAGCTCCAGGCTGCAGCTCTGAGAGACGATCGCCTCCTCCAGCTGTTTCTCCAGCTGAGCCTCCATCAGCATCAGCTGCTCCTTCAGCTGACACACACACACACACACACACACACAGGTTAACAACACACACACACACAGGGTAACGTCTCACACACACACATTCAGGTAACGTCTCACACACACACTCAGGTAACGTCACACACACACACACACACACACACACACACACACACACACACACACACACACACACACACACACACACACACACACACACACACACACACACACACACACACACACACACACACACACACACACACACACACACACACACACACACACACACACACACACACACACACACACACACACACACACCACACACACACACACACACACACACACACACACACACACACACACACACACACACACACACACACACACACACACACACACACACACACACACACACACACACACCTGCTGAGTGTCTTCTGTCTCCGGAGTCTCTGCCTGATCCTGGATATTAAAATAAGAAATGAGAAATGACTCAAACAGATCAAACACAGTTCCTGATTTCACATCATTTACACATTAGAGGTTCCTTTTGATGAGCAAAGTTTATATCAGAGATTTAAAGAAGAGTTCCTGAAACCCTTCAGATCCCCTGAGTTCAAACAGGAAGTCCGTCAGGAAGCTTCTGGCGTTGTCATTAATATGAAATATGTGATGATATGGATCTGAAGCGACAGCTGGACTCCATCAGAGAGTCTATATCTATAGAACCATATGAAGCCGTTTCTCTCTCTGACCCTGCTGTGATGGTA